TGCGGTGACCTCCCGCCTCTGTTCGATGGCCCAGCCCCGAAGCCGCCGCTGCCACGAGGATGACTACAAAAAAAAACCCATCGATGGTAACAATCGATAGCGAGCAATGAAGCTCCTGGTTAAAACTGTTTTCTGGCCACATTGTCAATCCGCGTCCCGAAAGGCAAACCCAGAAAGCAAAAAAAAAGCAACCTCGAGGCCTGCGTACCCTCAGGTACCGAGGCAGTGATCGACTGTAGAAGATTAATACCCATGGGATCTTTTTTTTGGCGGTAACAAAGTACGGTACTGTACGTACAGAAAATAAGAATAGTTGTTACCCTTTCTGGCAATAAAATAGGTGTTAAGATGTTCAAACACCAAATAGGTACCGTTTGCAAGGAATTAAGTCTGTATTAACCACTCGTACTTGTGATAAAACATCGAAACAAGCATAATCTGATAGCATGTGCATTGTCAATCAGTTTCAAAGACAATGCATATATTGCAGTAGGGGTGCCACGGTGGCTAGGAGATGTTAACTTCCTCGCCCGGAATACAGGAGGTCGAGGGTTGGATCCCGACCCTGACGCTGGAAAATTGGAGTTTGCGTTGTCTCTCTCTTCGTGGTCACGCGCATTCTGCTCCGGGTTTTCTCTCCACATTTCGAATCAACACTCACCCAATCTCAAGACTCAATCAATCTCAAGACTCTCACAGTCTCAACACTCACCCAATCTCAAGACTTACTCAATCTCAAGACTCACACAATCTCAAAACTCACACAGTCTCGAGACTCACACAAACTGTAATATTCTCGTAATCTCAAGACTCACCCAATCTCAAGACTCACACAAACGGTAGGATTCTCCCAGTCTCAAGACTCACCCAATCTCAAGACTCACACAATCTCAACACGCTCACAGTCTCAAGACTCACCCAATCTGTAGGATTCTCCCAGTCTCAACCCTCACCCAATCTAAAGATTCACTCAATCTCAAGACTCACACAATCTCAAGACTCTCACAGTCTCAAGACTCACCCAATCTGTAGGATTCTCCCAGTCTCCACACTCACCCAATCTCAAAACTCACCCAGTCTCAAGACTCACCCAATCTGTAGGATTCTCGAGTCTCCACACTCACCCAATCTCAAAACTCACCCAGTCTCAAGACTCACACAATCTGTAGGATTCTCCAAGTCTCAACACTCAACCAATCTCAAGACACTCACAGTCTCAAGACTCACACAATCTGTAGGATTCTCCCAATCTCAAGACACACCCAATCTCAAGATTCACACAATCTCAAAACTCACCCAGTCTCAAGACTCACCCAATCTGTAGGATTTTCCCAGTCTCAACCCTCACCCAATCTCAAGACTCACCCAATCTCAAGACTCACTCAATCTCAAGACTCACCCAATCTGTAGGATTCTCCCAGTCTCAACACTCACCCAATCTCAAGACTCACTCAAGACTCTCACAAACTCAAAACTCACCCAGTTTCAAGACTCACACAATCTGTAGGATTCTACCAGTCTCAACACTCACCCAATCTCAAGACTCACTCAATCTCAAGACTCACACAATCTCAACCCTCACCCAATCTCAACACTCACTCAATCTCAAGACTCACACAATCTCAAGATTCTCACAGTCTCAAGACTCACACAATCTCAAGACTCACACAATCTGTAGGATTCTCCCAGTCTCAACACTCACCCAATCTCAACACTCACCCAATCTCAAGACTCACCCAATCTCAAGACCCACTCAATCTCAAGACTCACACAATCTCAAAACTCACCCAGTCTCGAAACTCACAAAATCTGTAATATTCTCGTAATCTCAAGACTCACCCAATCTCAAGACTCACACAATCTGTAGGATTCTCCCAGTGCCAACACTCACCCAATCTCAAGACTCACACAATCTCAAAACTCATCCAGTCTCAAGACTCACACAATCTGTAGGATTCTCCCAGTCTCAACACTCACCCAATTTCAAGACTCAATCAATCTCAAGACTCAATCAATCTCAAGACTCACACAATCTCAAAACTCACCCAGTCTCAAGACTCACCCAATCTGTAGGATTCTCCCAGTCTCAACCCTCACCCAATCTCAAGACTCACTCAATCTCAAGACTCACTCAATCTCAAGACTCACACAATCTGTAGGATTCTCCCAGTCTCAACACTCACCCAATCTCAAGACTCACTCAATCTCAAGACTCATTCAATCTAAAGACTCACACAATCTCAAGACTCTCACAGTCTCAAGACTCACACAATCTGTAGGATTCTCCCAATCTCAAGACTCACCCAATCTGTAGGATTCTCCCAGTCTCAACCCTCACCCAGTCTCAAGACTCACTCAATCTCAAGACTCACAAAACCTCAAGACTCTCACAGTCTCAACCCTCACCCAATCTCAAGACTCACCCAATCTCAAGACTCACACAATCTCTAGGATTTTCCCAGTCTCAACACTCACCCAATCTTAAGACTCACACAATCTCAAGACTCTCACAGTCTCAAGACTCACTCAATCTCAAGACTCACAAAATCTGTAGGATTCTCCCAGTCTCAACACTCAACCAATCTCAAGACTCACTCAATCTCAAGACTCACACAATCTCAAGACTCTCACAGTCTCAAGACTCACCCAATCTGTAGGATTCTCCCAGTCTCCACACTCACCCAATCTCAAAACTCACCCAGTCTCAAGACTCACACAATCTGTAGGATTCTCCCAATCTCAAGACACACCCAATCTCAAGATTCACACAATCTCAAAACTCACCCAGTCTCAAGACTCACCCAATCTGTAGGATTTTCCCAGTCTCAACCCTCACCCAATCTCAAGACTCACTCAATCTCAAGACTCACCCAATCTCAAGACTCACCCAATCTCAAGACTCACTCAATCTCAAGACTCACACAATCTCAAAACTCACCCAGTCTCGAAACTCACAAAATCTGTAATATTCTCCTAATCTCAAGACTCACCCAATCTCAAGAGTCACACAATCTCAAGACTCACTCAAGACTCTCACAATCTCAAAACTCACCCAGTCTCAAGACTCACCCAATCTGTAGGATTCTCCCAGTCTCAACACTCACCCAATCTCAAGACTCACTCAATCTCAAGACTCACTCAAGACTCACACAATCTCAAGACTCACCCAGTCTCAAGACTCACACAATCTGTAGGATTCTCCCAGTCTCAACACTCACCCAATCTCAAGACTCACCCAGTCTCAAGACTCAACCAATCTCAAGACTCACACAATCTCAAAACTCACCCAATCTCAAGACTCTCACAGTCTCAAGACTCACACAATCTGTAGGATTCTCCCAGTCTCAAAACTCACCCAGTCTCAAGACTCACACAATCTGTAGGATTTTCCCAGTCTCAACCCTCACCCAATCTCAAGACTCACACAATCTCAAAACTCACCCAGTCTCAACACTCACCCAATCTCAAGACTCACACAATCCCAAAACTCACCCAGTCTCAAGACTCACCCAATCTGTAGGATTCTCCCAGTCTCAACCCTCACCCAATCTCAAGACTCACACAATCTCAAGACTCACACAGGCTCAAGACTCACCCAGGCTCAAGACTCACCCAATCTGTAGGATTTTCCCAGTCTCAACCCTCACCCAATCTCAAGACTCACTCAATCTCAAGACTCACACAATCTCAAAACTCACCCAGTCTCGAAACTCACAAAATCTGTAATATTCTCCTAATCTCAAGACTCACCCAATCTCAAGAGTCACACAATCTCAAGACTCACTCAAGACTCTCACAATCTCAAAACTCACCCAGTCTCAAGACTCACCCAATCTGTAGGATTCTCCCAGTCTCAACACTCACCCAATCTCAAGACTCACTCAATCTCAAGACTCACTCAAGACTCACACAATCTCAAGACTCACCCAGTCTCAAGACTCACACAATCTGTAGGATTCTCCCAGTCTCAACACTCACCCAATCTCAAGACTCACCCAGTCTCAAGACTCAACCAATCTCAAGACTCACACAATCTCAAAACTCACCCAATCTCAAGACTCTCACAGTCTCAAGACTCACACAATCTGTAGGATTCTCCCAGTCTCAAAACTCACCCAGTCTCAAGACTCACACAATCTGTAGGATTTTCCCAGTCTCAACCCTCACCCAATCTCAAGACTCACACAATCTCAAAACTCACCCAGTCTCAACACTCACCCAATCTCAAGACTCACACAATCCCAAAACTCACCCAGTCTCAAGACTCACCCAATCTGTAGGATTCTCCCAGTCTCAACCCTCACCCAATCTCAAGACTCACACAATCTCAAGACTCACACAGGCTCAAGACTCACCCAGGCTCAAGACTCACCCAATCTGTAGGATTTTCCCAGTCTCAACCCTCACCCAATCTCAAGACTCACACAATCTCAAGACTCTCACAGTCTCAAGACCCACCCAGTCCTCAAGACTTTCAGGGGGGTGCTGCTGCTGATGCATTGGGATGTTTTGGCCAATCCAATACGTGTGGGTTTGGCTTCACGTGAAAATAAACTGGGGGAACCCGGAGAAAAACTCACGCGTATGTAGGGACAACAGCTGAAAATTCCGCACAGATGGATTCATTGCACAATTTTTTGCGAAGCGAAACCCTGTCCGGTGATGCCATCTACCGGCCCCGTATCCCTCCACGCGGGGCTCCCCGCGTAGTGGGCGGAGCCTACTGACGGAGTGGGCGGGGCTATCGAGACATTGTGCTTGGCGATATATCGCGATAGTCGGCGATATATCGCGATATTACTCGCCACCTCGCGACACCCTGATATTTCACGAAATGTATCGCTGTTTCGCAATATTTAGCACTTTATCGCGAGATATCGATGAATATCGCGTTTTTACGATATATGGACTAATATCGCGATTTCTGCCAATATATCGCGATATCGCGATATTTTGCAGCGACGCATTGTTTCCCTCCGTAAGCGCGTCGGCAGCAGGAAGTCGGTGCCGCATCGGATCGGGTCCGGCTGGAAACGCGACGCGCGTGCAATCGAAACGGTTCCACTTGCCCTTACCCGCATCCTGACCCGACTCGCGGACCATAGCGGGGACCTCCATTCTCCCCCTGGGCGCTTCTCGCGATTCGCGAGGCGAAACGCGGCCGACCGCACTAGCGGGGCCCCCCCCCCTCCACACCCCCCACGCGGATGCCGCCGAGATGACAGAGGCCGAGTTGAGCTCCGCGCTGCGGGACGAGGCGTTCTCGAGAGACGCGGCCTGGGTGAGGAGGACGAGGAGGGAGGAGGCCTCGGACTCCCGACAGCAGCAGCAGCAGCCTCGGCGTAAACGCCGTAGAGCAATCACGAGAGGCTCGCTGTCTTCATTGTGCTGCTGCTACTGCTGCTGTTGTTGTTGTTCAATAGGTGTATGTACGCCTCTGTGTCTGTGTTTTTTTGTTTGTTGCGGGTGCACCCGATTCAAGAGCCGAATGGCTCACAGGGCTTATACCAAATACATGAAGCAGAAACTGTGCGTGTACCGTAGCGGGGAGGAGTAGTGTTGTAGCTGTTAGCGTTACGCTGCGCCACGAACCCGGCCGCCCGAGTTCGATTGCCGCTCACGGTCAACACCGGTGACGAAATGTCTCCCCTAGGTCGACTCGGCCTCAAATGAGTACCTGGTGCGGTGTGTAAACATCGCCACTGGGGAGACAAAGACGGCCGGGCGTGGTGCCTGGCCAACCCACCCCCTCGTGTGCCACGGTGCCGGCCTTCATAGGTGCTTGCTAACAGCACTTGCCCCAACAGTCTGTTGGGGCTACACGGGGGATCTTTGACTTTGGCACCGTAGTTTGGTTGGTAGCCCAGCTCCTGTGCTGGATGCTGCTGCCACGTTTGACTTGTGTCGGTTCATTCTTATTTAATCCTTGATACCGAATTTGTTTACATATTTCACAATTTTCCAGAGTTTATTTTATTTTACATTCCTTAGCGCTGCTTTGGCCTTGTGTAACATTGGGGGGGGTTTCCCAAGCTGTTATTGGTAGTCGCCATAGTAATGTGGGGGTTTCCTTAAGAGGGTCCAGTGGGCAGATGCATAAAGCAACTTAAACACAACGCTTAGCTCCGATTTACACCGGTGGCAATTAAGGTTTAACTTCAGGGTTTTCGTCCTTAATTATTGCTGTAGACAAGTCTACGCACCGCCCTATTGCGTAGGCAGGAAAACGCACCTAACTTTGCTTTTGAATTCGTCATTGGCAATACGCATTTGGTGGTTGGCCCTTTGGAGTAACTGGGCCCCGCCGCAGAACAGGGGAATTTCCACAAGTGGGGTTCAAGCCCGTAAACATGAGCTGAGCACCGTTCCACGAACGGGAGACAGTCTTTTAATTGTTTTTTTTTCTTCCTAAAGAGTTATCCTCTCCGATGCGTGGGGGTGTCTCCAGAAAGTATGGTATAAAATTAACAACTATACAGTACAGTATTTGGATTTTACCAGGTAAAGGCCACTGAGCTATTTAGCTCTTTTTCAGAAACAACCTGACCATAAGTGATAGCTTAACGAAGTCGAAATTGATTGCAGCCAAATACAGTACTGTGCTCCTCAATGCATGTTTATTAATGTGGAGGGGAAAACCGGAGGACCCAGAGAAAAAATCCACACAACCACGGGCAGAGAGACACGCAAACTCTAAATATACAGCAGCAGGCGTCAGGGTCCGGATCGAACCCCCGAGCTCCTACACACCAGGCGAGGGAGTTAACATCTCGCCACCGTGGTGCCTATACAGTATAGGTGAACCATGTCAGGGATTGGGCTATTCATCCCAAATGCACGACCGTCCTGCGAGAGGCCCAGAGGTCGTGGCTTCCCTGGATAAAGGCCACTTGAAGTTCTCATGATAAGTCAGATGAATGAGTCAAGATCGTCCCTTATTCTCCTGATTGTACCTTATTCGCACCCCCTCCCCCCATACTATATGTTAAAGGGATAGTTTGAGTGTGCCTTCTGCTGTAGTGCGGTAAGTGTGAGTGTGCGTAAACAGTTTTGTATGATTTTACCGAGCACAATTTTGGGGTGCGTCTTATAATCTAGATAATGTGGAAATGTCTTATTGCGTTCAACCTGGCAGTGGTGCAGCTCGTTACGAATCGGAGCCACACACTGGCATCTGAACCATCTTCGCCTTTCATGACGATGCCATGAGGTTATTTCCTGCGACGTGGCTTTGTTTATATCACAATTGTGAATTTGCAACGCTTGTAATGGCACAGGCGTCATGGTGTCGTGTTTAATTTGCATGCGGGTTATCAGCAGTCGAGTATATGTGCAGTACGGACGGTCATTGACTTACGAACGTCACCAGTGGCAATTAAGGACTGCACAGGCTACACTTGACTGTACAAGTGTAGCCTGCCCATATCTGTCAGCGCCTACCTTATTACAGACCAATTCAGACCATATTGGGCACCTCGTGCCCTTATAAATCTCAACGTTCATCCTACAAAGTCCCATCACCTGAAAACTCAATTTCCCTGTACAAGAATAGGGGCCATCCATTTAGTACGTATGCAAAAATCTGTCAAAACTTGACCCCTCCCCCCCTCCCTGTACGCACGCGTACTTTTTACACCCCCCCCCCCCCCACCTGCAGGCGTACACTTGACGCAACCCCCCCCCCTCGGATCCTATAGATCCTATAGATAGTCCACCACCAGACTATCTAACTAATTTTAAGGCCAATGTAGACAAATTATTATCGAGGCTTCAACCCCCCCTCCCCGTTTCCTATGCGTACGTACATTGTCAGTAGATCCCCCATACGCGAGCGTACGCATTTGGGTTAACACTCCCCCCCTCCCCCCTCCATGCGTACGTACTAATTGGATGGCCCCATACGGGTAAACCATATGGGTTGACAGGTATGCCTGCACCTTATCTGGGAAGACTAATCAACACATATCCACCCATGCTTTTAGAAGGGCCGGGAACAAATGCACAACGTGGATATGACATTCTCAATACATTTTGAATAACGGTCAATGTTTAAACATTTTATTTTAGATACACTTGCATACCGTCTCTTCCACGTGCAAGCCAAGAACTGTACGCTTTTCTTTGCACGTATTTCTCTGTGTCGTTTGTGGCCCCCAGGTGTGGCAGCGTGACGGAGGCAGCAGTTTACAACAACACATTTTGAGCCATCTGGCACGTTTCGTGCCCGGCATCCACCGCACTTGTGGTGGCTTTGAAGCAGCGACTCGCACCCGGCCCAGCGTCCCGGAGGGCAGCACGCCTGGAACTCCCAGCACCAGCAGCAGCACCAGCAGCAGCAGCAGCAGCAATGCGACACCCGGAGGAACGCCCGAAACACCCAACGCAGTCACTGCAACGCCGGGCGGCGATTCTGAAACGGCCGACGGTGGCAATGACGCTGACGAGGGCCTGGGAGGACAAGGGGAGCTGCTGGTTCGCCGCGTCCTGCTGGACCCCCTCGGCTGGTTCCTGTGCGGGGAGGATCCGGAAGCTGGCTTCCCTCGCTTGCAGCTGTCTAACCGACCAGCACAGCTGTGCGGGCACGTGTTCCGCAGCGGGGAGCCCACATACTCGTGCAGGTGGGAGGAGGGCGACAGTCGACAACAGTAGAGCTTGAGAGCCCCCCAAAATTGTGGCGTGTTTAAAATGTTTGCTTTTTGAGCCGGGTGACTGCGCATGAAGAGCGCAATGTCTCGTCTGCGTGGCAAGGCAGCGTGAGCTTTGTTTGAAGCGAGACTCGGCCAAACAAAACTGCCCTTCTTGTGTCCTGCAGGGAATGTGCAGCAGACCCCACGTGTGTGCTCTGCATGGACTGCTTCCAGCAGAGCGTCCACCGCACCCACAGATACAGAGTGAGTAAGGATGAAAGCGATAACTCTTTTCCACTGTACAACCAAGCTGCAGTGAAGCTCTGTTGACAGTGTACCGACTAACATTACATGCAATGAATACAAAATATGCCCCATCCCTATACCTGCTTGGCCCCAAACTAGATTCAGATGTCTTGTGAGGCCAGCATATCACAGTTTAGCTCTGACTCGGTGCAGCCAATAGAAAACCAGTCATGCTGCGAGGGCCTCATGCTGGCTCGGCTCTGATGTGCTATTGGAAAAAGGAAATGAGTGCTTGAGTGATGGTGAGCAAGCCAGAGAGCACATGATCGAATGAGTGAGCTAGGGAGCGTTATATGAGGTCAATGTAACTCTTGCTGATGATGTGCTTGTGCTGATTTGGTGCACGTAAAGCTGTGGCAGAGTGGTTCGCACATTGTACTCCAATCTGGCTAACTTGGCTTCGATCCCCGGCCATGATGGAGAACATAAGTAGCATGCAGTTTTAAAGCTGTCTTGGGCCCCCTCTAGGCCTTTAATTAACACCTGGTGCGATGTGTAACCATCAGCATTGCCGTGACAAAGCCAGCCGAGCATGGTGCTGATCATATCTGACCCACCGTGCGCTGTCTTGCCATTAACGTGTTTCGCTGACAACTCTTTCCCCGACAGTCTAGAAGGTATATGGGGGGGTTATATCTATGGGACCATTTTTCCAGTATCAAAAGGCGTTCTCTGGTCTAGCACTGGTGAGACAAGGCTATAAAGAAGGCTGCCTCTGGTGTAGGCCAATCAGTTTCGAAGACAATGCCCATCTATTATCAGAGCTTGTTTGTTTGCATGTTTTGCCACAAGTACGTGTGGTTAATGCATACTTGATGCCTTGCAAAAGGTATCATATTCGGTGTTTGAACATCTTAACACCTGTTATATTGCCGGAAAAGGTAAAACCTATTCTTGTTTTTCATCATTTTTATGGGGGGGGGGGGGGGGTGTTTGTGCGTGTGCAGATGAGTACGTCGGGTGGCGGAGGGGTGTGCGACTGCGGAGACCGTGAAGCTTGGAGGACAGGGCCGCACTGCAGCATGCATTCGCCGGGACACGCTGACGCCGCAGCCACTGTGAGCAACACAGCCGCGGCCCTGCGGATGTGAACGCATAGCGTGCGTGGGTACATGTGCACCTCCTGTTTGTTAATACACTGCTGGACACGGGCCTCTCCTGTCCGTGCCGGTTGCAGGGATTATTTGTCCAAATGCATGGCAGTGATCAGTGTCGGTTAAGTGCTGCGGTGGCGAGATGTTAACTACCTTGTCCTGGTATACAGGAGGTCGTGGGTTCGATCAACCATTGACGCCTGCTGTATATTTGGAGTTTGCGTGTTCTCCCCGTGGTCACGTGGACTTTTCTCCGGGTCCTCCGTTTTTCCCCTCAACATTTAGAAACATGCATTTAGAGTACTTGGCTTCCACATGATAAGCCACTTCGTTATTTGTGGCCAGGTTGTTTCTGAAAAAGAGCTATATAGCTCAGTGGGCCTTACCTGGTAAAATAAAAATAGTTAATAGTTTTTAAGGCCCAGAACATAAACGTGGGAGCATAAAAGTACTGTACAGAAGTGGATTTTCTGCACTTTTCTTGGCCATAACAGCAGAAGATAACCCTGTAGCCCTATAATAACATTTTGAGCATTGTGGCCACCCATCCAAGCACTGTCCAGACTCAATTTCTTCTGAGCTTCTTGAGATCTGTTGAAATAGGGGGGTGTTCCAGGTGACTTCGTCATCGGCATGGTATATTTGTTACGCTTGTTTACCCAGGATAGCCTCACTAAATATTGACTTTTTACAGCAGAGGGTCCTGCCAAGTTTATTATACACATGCACTGTATGTAAATGGAGAGCAGTGATGAATAAACCACTGCGCTTTAATCCCAGTGATCCGTGTTTTGATTCCCAGCCATGTGGCATATCGGTGGCATGTGGTATCAGAACCCGTTCAGGGCCACTCCTCTAAGTCAATTCAGCTTTAAACGAGAACTTGCCATTGTGTGTAAACAAAAATGTAGGCAGGTGTGGTTATAGCTGCACGGCACCGAACAATAAACCCTCCCCTGGCGATTCAAGAATGATGTCCAATTGGGGTCATTATTTGATTCAAGAATAGATGATGTTTGTCTTGTTTTTACTGACTTGTCTGTGTGGTTTGTGTATTATTTATTGTTTCGTCTTCTTTGTTCTCGTAGCCTAAAGGTAAATTAGCATTTGACTGGAATATCATTTGTTAGAATATTAAATTATTGAGTCGCATCAGTGTTCATCCCACGAATTGATTTAACATGCTGACAGGCCTGAATAGGGACACACTATTACGCTTTGCCTGTCCTGCCCAGGCTTGCGTGCCATGCCGGCCTTAGTAGGTGCTCACTAACAGCATTTGCCGTTACAGTCTCTGGCAACATGGGGTGGTTTTTAGTGTTTTTTTACGCGTGTGTGTGTGTGCAGGCGAGCGGTGGCACAGTGTTTAGCGCACCGTGATATACGAATCCGGCAACCCGAGTTACATTCCCACTCACGGCCAATACCAGTGACAATTATCTCTGAACTGATTCTGAGCCTTCCCTAGATCAACTCATTCTCAAACTCGTACCTGGTGCCATGTGTAAACATCGCGACTTGGGAGACAAAGGCGGCTGGGCGTGGTGCTGGCCACCTACCCCTTCGTGTGCCATGCCAGCCTTCATAAGTGGTGCTCGCTATAACAGCACTCGCCCCAACAGTCTGTTGAGGCTATACGGGGGGGGGGGGGGGCTCTTTGTCTTTGCGCAGGTGGGCGTAGGCGTTCTACCCGATGGCGTGGAGGAGCGAGCCCGAACCCTCTTCCCCGTGCTCCTGCAGTACGCCATCGACGCGCTCACGTGGGACCCCTCGTCGGGCCCTCTGCTGCGCGACTTCCACCCGCAAACCCACACGTACGCCCTACCCTGCGGTTGCGGCTCTTGGGGGGGGGGGGGGCGGGGGCTAATGAGTGATGTTGCTGGGCATCGGGAGGCAGCCACCCTCTGGCAACGCCGGGAGGTGGAGGAGCGATGCTCGCACCGGAGGACCCGAGGACCGGGCAGCTGAAATGTAGCAAGTTGGCACAACGGTGAATGCTGGTGGTGCATCTGCCAGTCTTCTCAGGCAGTTAACACGTAACACCTGGGTCTGTCCCACGACCTGTTAATGGGCCTTTGACACTTCATGTCGCCTCGAAATGCCCATACCCTGAAGTAAATTGTACTTGGTACTGAATTTATGTTATTATTGTAAACATGCATGCGTATAATGTGTACATGGGCATGCGTGTGTATGTGTGTGTGTGTGCAGTGATGAAGTGTATCACTGTGTCCTCTACAATGACGAGGTGCACACATTTAACGATGTCATCGGCTGTCTGGTGGTGGCTATCGGCTGCTCGGAGAGGGAGGCCTTTTCCCTCGCCTCCGCTGTGGACCGTCAGGTCGGTGGGGCCACAATCCACGGCACTAACACCGGCACGATCACAGCACTAACAACACCACGATCACCAGCACTAACCCCACCACGATCACCAGCACTAACGCCACCACGATCACGGCACTAACAACACCACGATCACTAGCACTAACGCCACCACGATCACCAGCACTAACACCGCCACGATCATGGCACTAACACCGCCATGATCACCAGCACTAACGCCACCACGATCACCAGCACTAACGCCACCACGATCACGGCACTAACACCACCATGATCACGGCACTAACACCACCATGATCACGGCACTAACACCACCACGATCACCAGCACTAACACCGCCATGATCACCAGCACTAACACTGCCACAATCGCCAGCACTAACACTAACAATGGCACAGATTATGCTAGCAACCACCAACACGCCATCATAAACAAACAACATGCCAAACGATAACCAGCGTGCTAAACAAGAATATCCAAAAAGTTGAGATCACAAGTCTGGCCCCTTTCTCCTCTTCCCACAGGGTCGCAAGTCTGTGTACTGTGGCTCGCAGCAAGTGTGCGAGGAAATCAAGAGAATCATCGTTGTAAGTGTCTGTGTTAGTGTCTTCATCTGCAGCAGCCTTTTAATTATGACGTGCAGGAGCAGTACACGTAGAGTCTGTTGTTGTTGTGTGTGTGTGTGAGACATAGTCTATGTCACATACACACACAAATAGGCAGCCGATTGTGTGAATGGGTGTCTAGGATTCCGGCTCATGGCCAACACCAGTGATGAATGTCTGAACCGGTCCTGGGCCTGCTCTAGGTCGACTTAGCCTCAAATGAGTACGTGCCTGGTGCGGTGTGTAAACATCATGGCTAGGGAAACAAAGGCGGCCGGACGTGGTGCTGACCACCCACCCCCTCGTGTGCTGTGGCGGCCTTCATAGGTGCTCGCGAACAGCACTAGCCCCAACAGTTTGCTAATGCTATATGGGGGATCTTTTTTGTACAGTGCTTTGCCAATCCATGGCTGGATTAGAGCCTACCCCACGCCATGCAGATCGTGGGAGTTAACTTGACCATATTTCACTTCCTCGGTCGGAGCAGGTTGGTGAAGGTGGGGGGGAGCATATTCGCAGGCACCTAGAAGTATGGCACAACAACGCACTGTCCTCTGTAGTAGACATGTGGCTTGGCTCGTTCACCAGAAACACACGAACCCATACATGTATCTATGTATGTTGAACTTCGCACCGTACTTAGCCAACCGTGCAAATTGGAGGTGTGGAGGAAGGACAACAAATTAAGCACAACAAGCTATTCTAAATAAATGATTTTCAATCTAGCTTATTTAAAAGTGCATAGCTCCAGTGGCTTCCTCATGTCAGAAGGAAAAGAATTCCAGATGGTCACAGATGCACATCTGAAAGCGCGCAATGCATTGACCATATTTGTTCAATGGTCGGCCAAAAGCCGCGACTGCGAGAATGACCGGAGTTCGCGTGATGGTTCATGCTCCTTGAGAATCGGCGAGGTATCGTGGTTCATTTGCGGCGTGCACTTTTTTTGCGTGTGACGAGCACGACTCTCGCCCGCCCTCACCGCCGCCACTGCAGGGCCGTAGCTCTCCACGGCGCGGACAAAAGGCGCTGCGCACGGAGGTGGAGTCGGCCTCGCTTTTCGCCCATCAGACGTTCGCCACACGCCTGCTAGCCTGGCTCAATCACATCTGCGAGACGTGCGGTAAGCGGCTGAACAAGCGAGCGCGTGTGCGTAGCCGTCGACTCGCGCGCGCGTACGTGGGTTTGCACCCTGAAGCCACTTAGACGCATCTTCGGGGGACGGCCATGTGATTTATTTTTTTGGCCAGCAACTCATTCCAATCGTCTTGCTGCGTCTGCAGTAGCATTGAGCGGAGAGACGTGGCTGTGTCGCTCAGACAGCCAGTATGGTCATGGTCAGGGGTCGGAAACTAAAATAACAAGAGTAAACTTAATAATTTCAAGAGCCGCAATGCATGCAAATTCACATCACAAAGCAGTCCTTAAAGAGCTACGTGTGGCTTCGGAGCCGCAGGTTGCGAACTCCTGGCCATGGTTATAGACGCTGAGCTGACACTGCCTTAAATGCAAATTAGGATTCCAGCCACACGTGATTAACATGGATTCTCACGTACTTTGATTATCTCGGCTCACATTTGTAAAGTGGATTTTCACTTAACTCGGTTTGTCTTAGCCATAAGGCATTAAATTATTCTGGGTTGAATGGGGTACAGTATAATAAAACGGTTTTTTTTTTTTCGTAGCATCCAAGCAATGTGACATGTGCTTCCTGTAATTACAACTTACTGTTAAGGAACTCTCAGCATCCAGCTGGATATGACAGGCGGCCGGGTCTGCGAATGTGCCCAATGTTCACCCTGCCACACACACCACACACACCACGTACACACTCCGCGCCACCCAGCTGAGCGCCGTGCTGACCTTAACAGGCGCTCGCCAACGGTGCTTGTCTGGTGTGCCGCAGAGGGCCTGCGCGTGCTGGTGTGCGAGGCTCTGCTGTCTGGCGGTGACGCCTCTCCCGTCTGCATGCTCATGCTCCAGGACTCGCGCCTCTGGAAGGGTAAGAGCACACGCCGTGTGGATCTTTGCTGATGAAATACCGCCACCCTCAGACACACTTGCCTCCGATCGATCCAAATTGGCTTTTGGGTCCAAGGAGGGAGGGGGGGGGGTGCATGATAATTGTCATGTTTAGATCTCAGCAACTTAAGTTTAAAATCCCAATCATGAACGACATCATAGCAGATGGGTCTCTGAACATTTATTTTCCCTCTCCTAGATCGACTCAACCTCAAATGAGCACTACCTGTTGCTTTATGTAAACGTCACTTCTGGGGATACAAAGGTGGCTCAACTTGGCGCCGGTCACAGCAGCCCCGGTGTGCTGTGCCTGACTTAATCATTGTGCACTGACAGCACTTGCCGCTTTGGTCTGCATGCATGCGTGCGTGTGCATGTCTTAAAGGGTGATGCGGACCCCCCGGGTTTTTGGATTTTGGGCGCACGTGAGCACTTGCATCTGTATGTGCGTGCGTGCCTGTGAGTGGCCTGGCACAAGCGTCGTGATAACGTCACCGCCACTTAGTGGCGAATGGCGGTTGTTGTTATTGTGAGTGTGATTATGTGTGCAGTGGCCACACCGGCAGTGTAGCTGGGTTAACGCGCTGCACTACGAACCTGGCGACCCGAGTTCGATTCCCGCTGACGGCCAACACCACTGACGATTCTCTGAACCGGTCCTGGGCCTCCCCTAGGTCCACTTAGCCTCAAATGAGTACCTGGTGCGGTGTGTGAACAGAGCCACTGGGGAGACAAAAGCGGTGGGGCGTGGTGCTGGCCACCCACCCACTCGTGTGCCGTGCCGGCCTTCATAGGCGCTCGCTAACAGCACTTGCCCCAATAGTCTGTTATGGCTACACGGGGTGTCTTTGTCTTTGGTGGTCACACCACTCTCTTGTGTGCCATGCCACCCTCAATAATAGGTGCTCACAAACAGCACGTGGCCCAACACTCTCGTTTAATAAGCATGTTGAACTTTTCTCGCACCGTACGTAGCCAACCATGCTAATCGAAGTCTACACAGGGTGATGTTTGTCTCTGCGTTTTGCTGGGCAGGAGCGAGGAGTGTGCATTACGACCTGATCATGGGCAGCCTCCTCCTGGAGGCCGAGTACAAGCGCCATTTCGCCATCGTGTTCACACGGGTAAATCCCTTGTGCCCGGGGAGAACGCGAGAGCACGCGTCCGCAGGGTGTACCTTGCATGTCAACCCACACATGCATGTGCGTGTGTGTCAGTCTGTGGGGAGCGGGAGTGGTTCGCGCGCTGCGCTACAATCTCGACTACCAGAATTCGATTGTCTTAACCGGTCCTGGGCCTCCCCTAGATCAACCCGACCTCAAATGAGTACTTGGTGTGGTACTCTTTGGTTCTATTCGGTAAAGTCACGTAGGTAAAAAATAAAACAACAAAAATCACGACGTTTCCGCCACAACACAAGTGGCCACAACACAAGTGGATGAAGGCCACTTGTGTTGTGGCCGAAACGTCGTGATTTTTGTTGTTTTGTTTTTTTCCTACGTGACTTTACCGAATAGAACCAAAGAGTATGGATCCTTGCAGTCACGAAAGCTTCAAATCTAGAATACCTGGTGTTGTGTCTAAACATCGCCACTACAGAGACAAAGGCGGCCGGGCATGGTTCTGGGCATCCACCCCCATGTTTGCCATGCCGGCCTTAATAGATGCTCGCTCACATAACTTGCCCCAACAGTATGTTATGGCTATATTTTTGTTTTTTGAGCAGTAGTGCTTCGCCCGCTGCACTATAATCCTGGCTATCAGAGTTTGATTACAGCTCAGGGCCACTGGGGAGACAAAAGCAGCCTGGCGTGTTGTTGGCTACTCCCCACCCCACCTCGTGTGCCGTGCCGGCCTTTATAGTTGCTCACTAACAACACTTGCCCCAAAAGTCAGTTAAGGCTATACATGGCCTTTTTGCAGAGCGGGCATAGGTATTCTATGAGGATAAACAGGGAATTTTGTTTGGTATGTGTGTCTGTGTGTGTTCACGTATAAGCATATTCGCACATATCAATGTGGTCGTAGGGCGTGCACGTGACCATCTACGCTGCTGATGGCCTCTGTGGTTGGCGTGTCCACAGAATTACCGCCGGCTGCAGCAGGATTTCCTGGACGATGACCACGAGCGAAATCTGTCCGTGACCAGCCTCTCGGTGCAGGTGTTCACTGTGCCCACGCTGGTGAGAGCGAGCAGTGCCCCGTAGCCTTGTACACTGCGCCCAGGGTTCTTCCAGGTATATAGCTCTTTTTCAGAAGTTACCTGGCCATGGCAAATAATAGCTCAACGAAGTGGCTTGTAACGTGGAAATTTACAGCAGACAAATACTCCAAATGCACATTGATTCTAAATGTGGAGGGAAAAACCAGAAGACCAAGAGAAAAATCCACGCAGCCATGTGAAGAGAGACCCGCAAACTCGAAATATACAGGCGTCAGGGTCGGAATTGAACCCAAGACCTTCTTGCATACTAGGCGAGATATTTAAGATCTCTCCACCGCGGCGCTCCCATGCACTCATCAATAGATTAGCCTCTCTCTCTACCCGAGCTGCGACCTTAGACTCGGCCGTATCCTCAGGGATTTGTCAGTGCGTTTGGTATTCACGCCATTCTTACGGTCCGAGGCTGTCACAAAGACGCTGCGTCTTGCGGATGAACAGATCCGGAAGAGGCGGTGCGGTTTAATGGGATCGAATAATCCCACGCCGCCTCTGTATCTGCACCTCCGATTAACACGGTTGACTACGTACGGTGCGAAAGAAGTTCAACAACTTATAGCAACATATTTCAACAAAGTCGCGTGAAATTCCTTTGACTTTTGCCGTGGCTACGCCCTTGCCGGCAGGCACGGTATCTGGTGATGGAGGAGGACGCCCTGTCCATCCTCGTGAAGACCATGCGGGAGCAGCTGCAGGAGCTGATGGGCGGCAACGGGGCGCTGCACCCGGACCGCACCGACTCGGTGCAGCTCCGCCGTGCGCTGCACACCTTCGGCGACCTCAAGTACGCGTGCTGTCGGTGCTTCTGCTCACTTCCGCTCACTCCTGCTCGATGTCCCAAACACTCACTATGTTGGCCACTTACCCCCCCTCCCTCACCTGTCAACTTGGTTTGCTTTGCCGTTTGCTCTCCATCTTGCTCACAGTCTTCCGTCTCTCCCACTCACTAACTTGCTCTTCTGCTTGCTTTGCTGTTGTATTGCTTTCTCACTGTATCCCTCCAATCCAGTGCTTGCTCTTAACTACTTGAAAGACAAAGATCAACTGTATAGCCTTAACCGACTGTTGGGGAAAATGCTGTTAGCGAGCACATATGAAGGCCGACACGGCACACGAGGGGAGGGGATTGCCAGCACCACGCCCGGCCGTCTTTGTCTCCCCAGTGGCGATGTTTACACACCGCATCAGGTACTCATTTGAGGCCGAGTCGACCTAGAGGAGGCCCAGGACCGGTTCAGATAATCGACACGGATGTTGGCCATGTGCGGGAATCGAACTCGGGTTGTGCGCTAACCGCTAAACTGCCAATCCCCACTTTTAACTACTTTATTCGCTATCCCACTCTAACTCACTTAAATGCTGTATTCATCCCTCAATCTGTCTCCCAATTGCTCACCCACGTGCTCTGCTGCTTGCTCTCCCACTAAACCTCTCCCTAGCTCTCCTGCTCTTCTCTCACTCTTTATCCCCCATTCTTTCCAAGAGCCAAGAAGAACAATGTGGACGATTGGTCAATTGCGATCTGAGATTTCTTAAACTTGCATCCTTCTGATTGAGTTCTGAATTCTCTAATGCCAGGGCGATCCCTGGATGGATACCCACAGTTCCCTCTGATCTCTCAAGTCTTCCCTACCCCCCCCCCCACCCATCCTCCCCCCGCTCCTTTTCAACCAGGTTTATCCTGATCGCTCGGCCTAGCGAATGGAGCGATGCCCTGAGGATCAAATTCCTTGCCGGTTTCCAAGAGTTCATGACCTTCCTGCAAGTCCTGCAGGTGCGAGGGAGTGCGGTGCTCAGAGAGACGGCGCCTGCAGTGGGGACGAATGCTCTGCGTGATGATTACTCTTTAATTAATTCATCTTCTTTCATTAATTATTTCCTCTTCTTTAACTCTGCGTTCCACAGCTACAGCGTTCGTCCTCGTGCGTTTTGTATCCATGGAATATTTGGTTTTTTTTTGCTCTCCCAATTTTCCCGTTAAGTTTTATTTCTCACGGTTCCTGCGGGCTAATTATATTTTTTCTCGGTGTCTGATGGTGTACTCAGAGGTTAAGTCTGTTGTCACATTATAGTTGACTGATAGACCAATCGCTGATGGTTTGTCTAGACCCTTGATTGACAGACCAGTCTGATATTAATAACAATAATGATAAATTTTGATTTAAAGCTTTCGTGACTGCAGTAATTCATATTCTTAGCTCTTTCGGTAAAGTCACGTTGAAGGGAAACAATAAAATAATCAAATATATATAAAACAATAAAAATTCTCAACGTTTCGACCATAACACAAACGGTCGTCATCAGGTGTGTCGGTTCGCATTAATTTATTTATTTTCAAACGGTTTATTTATTTATTAAAAACCGTCAGCGCCACACGCAGCGATTTGATAGTTTTAAATTACCCCACGATTAACAATGCCAGATGTGTTCTGTGCATACACACGACTGCAAACAGTCTAGACAGTAATATTTTGCCAGACCGGTCTCCGATGGGGTGTATGCACATATAATAAGTTTCGGTCGTGAGAAAATTATTTCATGTTCTCGTCGAGTTGGCGACTAAACTGATATGCAGCGAATGACGAACGAACTTTGGGAGAGCATTTATTTATTTTATTCCTACTTGTTGACATAGTTTTAAGGGTTTGCTCTTGGCGGGACGCAGTATGTCCGAAGGCGCGTGGTAGTTTTATTGTTGAGGTTGCGTCTTCCTGTGACGGTTCACTCTGGACTGAACCCGGCCAACGAACTGCTTCAGGGCATCGAGGCGGTGACGCGGCAGCTGAGTCAGCACGTGGAGATGGACCCCGAATGGGACGTGGCCTACAGCCTGGAGCTCGCCGTCACGCATGCCATCACCATGATGCAGGGCTGGTGCGCGTCAAACGTGAGCAACGCGTGCGCACGCACACACACGCACACACACGCACACACACGCACACACACGCACACACACGCACACACACGCACACACACGCACACACACGCACAAGCCGCCAAGCCGGCGTACAAAGGCGGCCAATTATGCGTTGAGACTCGGTGTACTGCTTCCTCTGTGCGCCTTGCCGTTTTTGTTACCGCCGATTAAATTTCGCTCTCGAGGATGAAGGTGTGTTTGACCGCGATACGGAATCCGTCCTCGTGCGCAACTCTCCTCCTCCTCCTCGTTGTTTCCTGCCGGCCGTGCAGGCGGCAGTGCTGGTGGAGTCGTACGCGCTGTGCGTGCGCGTGCTCCAGTCGTCCGGCGCGGTGCCCCGCAACGCCGCCGCCACACCCGTCAGGCTGGCGCTGTGCGGCCACTCCCTGCTCTCCATGCCCTATCTGGTCTCTCGTCAGCCCGTGAGCACCCACCTGCCCATGACTCGCTTCCTCGCAGGTGAGCCCCCTTAGTGGACGTCATCGTCATCATCGTTGCAGTGTCCCTTGTTCACACGAGCAATCTTGTAGCCCTTTTCCACGGACGCATCGAAGCCATGTACCTCGTATAACGCTCCCTCGCTCGATCACTTGATCATGCTCTCTCTGGCTTGCTCACCCTCACTCATTCGGTCACTCGTTTCCTTTTGCAATTGGCACATCCAAGCTGAGCCCGTTTGAGGCCCTCATGGTACCTGTGGATTTCCACTGGCTGACTCTCGTGCCAAGCCGGAACCAAACAGTGAATCGCTGGCAGCGCCAAGATATCTGGATCTTGCTCGGGGCCAAGCAGGGCCAGGGGCAGCACTAACGAAGCGTTCATTGCACGTGACGTCGGTTGTTTGAAGTCGGAACGCAGCGTCACTGCGTTGCCTACACGCGTCTCAACTCACCACCGTGCTTGTACCACAGCAGCCCATCACAGCAAGGGTGATGATGGGATTGTGCAAATCGCATATAAATCCTCCAACAACCTCACTTCGCAAGCGTGTTTGTGAACTGAGATGCATGTCATGAGTTTTCCTGTATCTGTTGTACACGCAGGCCTCTATGCGATGGTGAGCCACACTGGGGTCATGTCTTCTTACCCAGAGATGAATCTGCTGGTAAATATCACCACTAATAGCACGACAACAATACCACCACCACCAGTGCCACAAACGCAACACCAACAACCGCCATTCGCCACTAAGTGGCGATGACGTCAAAACGGTGCATGAGCCAGACTAGGTGCACTTTGAGGCCACGTGAGGTGTCAAAGTCTTGCTGGCAGGAGGCCATGGGTAAAAAAAAGACTTGTTATGACTGGCAGATGTACAAACTGTCATCTCTATGCTTGCAAAACATGGCCCCTTACAAGAACACCTTATTGCTGGCTTTAAGCTTTCAGGCTGGCCTGTCTACAATCCATCCTGGGATTAATCAGCATGGATTGCTCGGGTACTTTAAATTAAATATTTGGATATCGTCCTTTGAGCGGGCTTTGCCATCAGGTGAGGATACAATGGCTGGTCATAAAGTCCACATGTCTCGTGAGGCTCGACAGCGGAGGCTGGATAGGTGAAGCAATGGCTGATGAAGAGATAGGCTGATGGGATATAGAAGGATTTGGTACTGAGTGGACTTGGCCTTGATGAAGGGTGCTGTATGTGACTGTGCATTTGTGTCTGTGTGGGGAGCGGTAGTATAGCTGTTAGCGCGCTCCGCAACGAACCCGGCAACCCGAGTTTGATTTCCGATCACGGCCAACATCAGTGACGATTATTTGAACCGGTCCTAGGCCTCTCCTAGATTGACGCAGCCTCAAATGAGTACCTGGTGCAGTGTGTAAACATCGCCACTCGGGAGACAAAGTCGGCGGGCGTGGTGCTGGCCACCCACCCCCTCGTTTGCCATGCTGGCCTTCATTAGATGCTCACGAACAGCACTTGCCCCAACAGTTTGTTAAGGCTACACGGGGGATCTTTGTCTCTGTGTAGGGGGGGGTGGTATCATTGTGGTTATTGCATTGTGCTTTGAACCTGACGATTTCCACTCACAGCCAACATTGGTGACTAACATTTAAACTGGTCCTGGGCCTCTCCCCTCGTCTGGCTGAGCCTTAAATGAGCAGCTGGTGCGGTGTTTAAACATTAGGATTGAGAAGACAAAAGGCGGCCGGGCGTGGTGCTGGCCATCCCCACCCCCTCGTGCACCGTGCCAGCCGCAATAGGCGCTTGCTCTATCAGCAATTGTCCCAACAGTCTTTTAAAAGGTTCTATGGGGGATCTTTGCGTGCGTGCGTTTGTGTATTTGCGCCTTTGTCTTTTGTGTGCGGCTGTGCTTCTCTGCGTGTGTGTGCGCACATGGGTCTGTGTTTGTGTGTTACAGGAAAGCGTGGAGCCACAGGACTTGGCCGAATTGCCCCTAAGGTGCCTGGTGCTGTTGGCGCAGGTGAACGCCGGCATGTGGCGGCGTAACGGCTTCTCCCTCGCCAACCAGGTAGCTACAGCAACCCAGTAACAGCAACAACCAGGCAGGTAGCCATGGCAACAGGGTAACCATGGATACCATTTTTTCTGGAACAGGGACTCTCTTTAAAAAAGTGCATCAAGGTGGAATTATGCTTTTATTGAAAAGCTTGTCTGATGATAGAAAAATAAATCGGCTTTAATTACTGGACAAGAAAATAAACCTTCGTCCAAAATCTTTAGAGTTGGTTAATTCCACGCGACTGTTGAAAGCTTAAATGCTTTATCTCTGTCTGTCATTCTCTCTGGTTGTAACAGGTGGTCATGATGATTCTTAAAAAGACGATCTGATGTAAATACAACATTTTAGTGTAAAGTTGAGCTACGATTACGAACTTCCCAACAGGAAATTGCACTAATTGGTAATGTTAAAAACGTAACGATAAAGAACAAGTGCTCATTATATTAGCCTTTTCGGTCATGTCTATACATTCTTATCACTAATAAATAACTTCCGAAGACAAACGAATTTTGAAAAACCTTGTAAAAACCCTGAATATGCATGAATCTTCTACCTTGTTAATACAAAGTACAAAGATCAGATAATCAATTCAATTTATTTCAACAGGTGTCTTTGTTTTATTTAGACACCGTGTAGTTTCATATTCAGTTATTTCTGAATATGTGTGCTCCAAAATGCATATTTAATGCTTTTTTTACGTGAATGGATATTTGCTCTAACGAGAGTAAAGTATTTGGAACAGTGTCCTGTGACATGCTGGTATCATGTTGTGTGAGCTTGGATGAGTTTGTGTCCGATTGCCCGGTTGTGATGGCCGATCGCTTTTGCCCCCAGATGTACCACTACCACAGCGCCATGTGCCGCCAGGAGATGTTCGACAAGGATGTCCTCATGCTGCAGGTAGAGCACCCGTCATCTTGTTGTCCTTCCCCCGCACCTCAATTTAGCGTGGCTGGCTACGTGTGTTTCAAAAGAAGCTCAACTTGCATCCATACGTACACACGTCATTGTCGCCATCGTTGTGAGCCCGCGTGCCGTGCTGCGACAAAGGCACCTTCGACCAAGTCAACTGGAATGCGACCCATGTCGTCAGATCTCGCAGGCGAAGCAGACTTGAGCCTGGACAGTGTGTGGATGGGTCACCATCATGCACACGAAAGGTTGTTGTCGGCCCGTTGCGGGGGCTACATTGTGAACAATAAAAGGCAGTGCGGCAACATTTATTGTTGTTAACATGCTACGCTCCCAAGCAGTAGTTAGTGTGTATTCATTGCTCGGTAGCGGTTGGTGATGTTCATTGATCAGTGGTAGAATGACGGTGGCGCAGAGATCAGCAGTGTTTTTGTGCCCGCTGACGATGGTTGATCATTGAGTGTCGCTCATCACTGTATCAGATCGCCGCGTCTCGGATGGACCCGGATGAATTCCTCCTGCTCCTTCTGTGCCGCTTTGAGCTCATCAACGTCTTCAAGACAGCCACGCGGCACAGCGGACACCGTGCCGACACCACCAGCAAGGTGACGCGCGCTCGTGCTGTGTGCACGATCCTCTACGACCAGGGCTCCGCATGCAACTGAATATTTTCTAGGTAACTGGTAGACCTGGAGGTGACACGTGACTAGTAGCCACAGCCATATACTGGATGTGATGTGCCAGGTGTGGAAATAGTCCCTGCCTACTACCAAACCAAAGCCCAGGAGGGTTTAGCTGTTGAGCACTGTGATGGAAGACTACCTGAGCATACCTGGTGTGTAGGCCCGGAGATGGAAGGTGGCCATGTGTCGGCACAGCAATGGATTCTTGCATCTTTATTTGCCTGAAACTTTGAGTGCTATCCCCTCTTATGGATGGCGTTTTTTTCCAGTTCCTCCAGTTTCCTCCCACGTGAAAACCAAATGCTCAGTAAGAGAATTGGCCAAACATCCCAATGCAGGATCTTCTTGGGAAGAGCCTCGAGACTGTCATGCTCTTCTGGGTATAAAACGTTCATTGCCGTAAAACTCCTCTCAGTTGATTTGACAGTGGAGCTTTTGTAGTTGTATCCTATGATCTGTGTTTAGGACCAATGAACAATTACATGCTAACAATAATAGTAAACTGATTAAACGCCTAATGGGATTCCTGGTACCAGGTGTCTTTTTAACCCTTACCCGGTCCGAGACAACTGCAAGTTGCAGGGTGGGTGTCCCCGTTCACCGCTGAATCTGGAAACGTGCAAGCGGTTAGCGTTAATTTTATTTAGAGAGGTGGCATAGCGCCGTTGTTTTTAAAGACATTGTACTCACTGCAGCGAACTGTAGCCACACGACCGCACTCTATGATAGCTGGCGCCAAACTTTGCTATACTCTCCGCATGGCCTTGTGGGAGCTCGGTACGTCTTCAGGTCGGAAAGTGTACCGATAAAGTTTTAAAAAATTTTAGTCTTTCTTCCGATTCTGTTTGGATGAGGTACATACACGTGATGGGAATAAAAACCGATGATGTACATGCACGTCATCGGAATGATAAAGGTTTAATCCTACGGATGATTGTACAGACACTGATTGTATTACATGTGCCCGCACAGCCGCGTGTTTACACGGTTTGATTTTTCCTACAGGACCAGCTCCAGCAGAACAGCTTCTTGCTCGAAGAACTTCTTCAGCTCATCATATGGATCCTGGGTGAGCACACGTACACAGAATCACACTTACACATAAGGCTATGAGATCACCCTCATAGCCTTAATTGATTTTAGGGGCAAGTGCTGGTAGTGAGCCCCTATGAAGGTAACCACGGCAGACAAGGGGGTGGGGGGCCAGTACCATGCCCAACTGCCTTTGTCTCCCAAGTGGCGATGTTTACACACTGCACCAGGTACTCATTTGAGGCTGAGCCGATCTATGAGAGGCCCAAGACCGGTTCAGATTATCGTCAGTGGTGTTGTCCGTGAGTGGGAATCAAACTCGGGTCGCCAGGTTTGTTACTCAGCACCCTAACTACTGCGCCACCGCTCCCCACAATGGGTTAACTGAATTGCGACATTTACACATTTAACCCCAGGCACGCACGCAAACACAGCTATACTAGCGGCGTTCACGGCACACAAAACGTTCTATCCGTTTTGAGTCCTCGCGGCCGTTTGTGCCTCCATACCACCCCCCTCCCGTGCGCGCCCCCATCCCAGCGGAGCGCTTTGTACCAGGCGTGAGCGCCGTGACGGCGGAGCAGGTGACACGGCACGAGGTGGTGCACCAGCTCGCCATCAAGCCCATGACGCACAGCGAGCTGAGCAAGGCGCTGCCCGAGAACGTACGCGTCGCACGCACGCACACGACACGTCTCGCCCGCCACATGTTGCAGCACAGCAACAACAACCGCCATTCACCACTAAGTGGCGGTGACTTCACCACGGTGCTTGTGCCAGGCTGTGTGCACTTTAAGACCACTTTATGTGTCGAACGCCCTCTGGCAGGAGGTCACTGGACAGACCCAGGTGCTATGGGTTGACTGACTGAGACGACTGGCAGATGCAGCGCAGCAGACGCACTGCCACACGCACCAGCACGAACAAACACACAAAGCCACCCACGTCCTCTTAGCCTCATAGACTTGCCTGATCTCGTCAAGGAGCATAAACCATCACGCGAACTCCGCTCAGCCTTGCAGTGGCGGCTTTTGGCCAACCGTTAAACAAAGACGGTCACTGCATCTTGCGCTTTCAGGTGTGCTTCTGCGACTGTCTTTAATGCTCTTCTGGAGCTATGCACTTTTAAATCATCTAGATTGTAAATTCATTTCTTTAGAACTGTTTTTTGTGTTTAGTTTGTTGTCCTTCCCCCACACCTCCGATTTTCACGGTTGGCTTCGTAAGGTGCAAAAGAAGTTCAACATACATAACACATCTCTTTTCTCCTCCTTGTCTCATTGCCTCCTCGTCTCTCTGCCTCTAAGACTCCCCTGTGCCATGTTTGTCTTCTTCTTCGGCAGGAAAACGACGAGACTGGCATGGAGGCCATCATCGATGACGTCGCTGTCTTCAGGTTGGTTTGGTTGCTGCCGTTAATCCACTCTTGAGTTTGCTCTCGCCGTCCCCTGGCTTGTGCCATACACTCGATTCCGGGTCTTGTACGGTGCTCAACAGCCACAAGTTGACCATTGCCGTACACGATTGCATGCACTCTGTCTAAGTAATATGTAAAATAAATGCAGTGCCGTTCCACGTTCACGCAGCATCGTGGTAAAAGGTATTATCTATTCTTGAGACGTAAACAAAATAGTCTTGAGACATATTCTTGGTTCCTTCGGTAAAGTCACGTAGAAGGGAAACAATAAAATAATAAAAATAAAAAAACAATAAAATTCTCACGACGTTTCGACTGCAACACAAGCAATCATCATCAGGTGTGAAAACCACAGCAAGAAAATTTGAAAAAAGTGGCGATTATTTTTAACGTTAGCACCACAGAGAGCGATTTGACAGTTTGTTCAGATGGACGAGTCCATCTATGTTCGGAAAAGAGGAGGGGGGAGACGAAAATAATGGATGCGGTCTGAAAGCCACCGTAAGCGTGAACAATCAATTAAGACCCGAAATTATTTATCAAATCCTTCCAATGATTGCTAAGCCAGAATCCCTTCAACGTGACTTTCCCGAAAGAACCAAGAATATGAATCCCTGCAGTTACGAAAGCTTTAAATCAAAAAAGTCTGAGACATGTCTGCAAATGGTTCTGAGGCACAAGCTCAGCTCATCGCTCCGTTTCCGTGGCGGTACGTGAGACCGCATGGCATGGGAAACCCTTCATCCAGCAGCAGATCGGCCATTGCTGCCAATCATTCCTTAGTGAATGCCTTGAAGAGCAGCATAAAACCAGTTCGTATCTCTCCGAATTGGCAACGGAAGACAGTCATTCGCTCTGAACGCATTCAGCGCCAGGGGGCTGTGCGCTGCGGTTAATCACGGGCGCTGAGCGTACACGACGCTACTACACTCTTTATTTTACCAGGTAAGGCCCACTGAGCTGTAAAGCTCTTTCTCAGAAGCGACCTGGCCACAAAAGATAGCTCAACGAAGAGGCTAATGTGGAAATTGATAGCGGCCAAATACTCGAAACTCACGACGATTCTAAAAGTAGAGGGAAAAACCAGAGGACCCGGACATAAAATCCACGTGACCTTGGGGGAGAACACGCAAACTCCAAATATACAGCAGGTGTCGGGGTCAGGATCGAACCCACAACCTCCTGCATACCAGGCGAGGGAGTTAACATCACGCCACCGTGGCGCCCCCCCCCCCGCCGCCCACCTCCGTGCTGGGGGTGGCGCTCCTGTCCACAGGAAACCAGGCCTCACCGGCCGTGGGGTTTACGAGCTGCGGCCCGAGTGCACGGCCGAGTACAACCCCTTCTTCTACCACTACCGGCGATCGGAGCAGTCCAAGGTACGAACGCACGTGTCGTACCGTGGCCACGAAGTTGATGATTATCGTCCTCCAGCGGTTTAATGAATCGTCACTACCTGAAAAAACAAACTCCAAGCACGCTGAGCAAAACATCGGCGGGTCATGATTAACATAATGCTTGTGTACGCAAGAAATCCTCACCGAGTCTCATGTGTCAATAAACCCATATATTTAAATGTATAGAGCTGGAATAAATGATAGTAAGTGAATATGTTACGATGTTGCATCAAAAAGCTTCTCTATTTAACAAGGCACAAAGGTGTGCATTGCATGTACAAACCCTCTCAGCCTTGCGCCTTATGCAAATCACCAGTTTTGTCCTTATAACGACTCATTACTAGGGTGCAATCATCAGTGTTCTGATACTGGTTTCTGTTGGGGAACGTCTGTTGACGTGAAGTTGAACTGTTGACTCGGATTACAGCTCCGAGCAAATGCCAGTCGCGGGATTGGCTCGTTGCATACCAGTGATGCAAGCAGCCTACTCGCTATCAGAATGAGAATATTTATACTGAAGGAATCCTATGAGCTATAAAGCTCTTCATAATAAAGGTTTTTTGGGTTAGATCGCGTTATTTATAAATGTGTCGTAACCCTCCACCACCCGACACGGCCAATCAGCAAAAAGGTGCCACGTTGACAAAAGACAAATAGTTCACTACTTTAGCCCACCGGTGTGTTGAAGAGTGAATACATAACATTTACAGTTTGAGTACGACGTTTCGCTGGTAATTACATCCAGCATCATCGGGCAATTCGCCAGAAAGCCTACGTGTTAAACTATAAAGCTCTTTTTCACAGATGTCCTTTAGGGGCGGGTCAGAACTTTACAACAACAAACAGTACAAAAACACGATGAAAAGTAAACAAATCACTTAAAGACATACAAATAAAACGAAATTATTTTGATCTTACCAGATAAAGGCGGCTGAGGTATTAATGATAGCTCGACAATGTGGCTTGGCAGCAATATATGAACTGCAACAGCTGAGAAGAGAGAAAATACCTGCCAGCGTGTACCGGAATGTCCCTGCAAACCTTGAAAATTATCCAGATTGTTGCTTCAGAATATCGATATGGGCAACGAGACGTCGTTTTACGGACGGGATCCTGAAGCTTGAACGTTAAAAGCTCGCGGCGGAAAAAATCCGGTCCTCGCCCAAACGAAAAAAATTACTCCTGAGCAGAGGTCACGTGGGGAGAGACCGACGGCGATGAATTTCGTCGACCGTGGAAGGATCGGTGCCCTGTGAAATTTGGTGTGGTCTGGAACTGTTGTTGTTTTTCCCGCCTTGCCCTAGCATGCATTTAGTGTTGAAAAATGGGCAGCAACTAATGTACTGATGAAATTTGTACTTATATTGTATTTATGTGTATTTATTTTTCGTGGCTTCCTTACCTTTCCTCCATTTTGCATATCTGTTGTTGTTGTTTGTATTGTTGTAACTTGCTGACCCGCCCCTGCTGGACATCTGTGAAAAAGTGCTTGGTTGCTCATCGTATTACTCCAGTGTCTCAAGATTCTGATTCTGCTTCTGACAATTGGTTACCCATTGGGATGGCTGTGCGAGTTAAAATCCTGGTTTCGGGGGTAGACCATCGTCCCTCCGGGCTCGATAAAACGAGCACCACTTTGTGGGGAGTTCAGCAGTGGTTGTCCCGGGGAGAAGAGAACATTCTGCGGTTTGAAAAGTAACGTTATCATCGCCGATTAAGCACTTCCTTGGACAAAAACGCATGTCGGTAAGTTGCGCAGAATCCACAACTGTGCTTTGATTTCTCTTCCTTGTTGATGCCCTGGACGTCTACGTAACACTCCGTGCCAACGTGATTAGCGCGCACGCGTGCGTGTGTTAGAACTGGAGCGCGGTGCATGTGGGTGTCGGCACGCACGCCTAACTCGTGCGGCCGTTTGTATGTTCGCGTGTTTGATCTGCTTGCGCGCATCGCTCGGCACAAGGCGAAGTTGAAAACAAAATAGCAGCTTGTTTTTTGGTTCAGTCTGTGTAGTTTTTTGTGTATAAATATCATTGCCAGCAACGCCCGACTTCTCGACCATAACATAAACCTGACGACGATAATGATGATGATGATGAATGTGATTTTTAGGCAGAGGAGGCTCAGAAGAAGTTGAAGAAGCTGAAAGGAGAGGATAGCGGTAAGTGTTGAATCACCAGCTCAGAAGAATCGGTCAAATACACACACACAAACAAGCGCATCAATAGCATCCCGATTGTGCACTCAGTTTAAAGGGACTCAACAAAGGAATTTCATTCCTCATGTGTAAATGCCATATTTACCAGGCATTTAGACTTGTGTTTGTGCGCAGCACTATGAACCCAGCCACCCGAGTTCGATTCCCACTCGCAGCCAGCACCAGTAACGATCATCTGAACCAGTCCTGGGTCCCCTCTAGGTCGACTCAGCCTCAAAAGAGTACCTGGTACAGTGTGTAAACATCGCCACTGGGTCACCCACCCCCTCGTGTACCGTGCCGGCCTTCTTAGGCGCTCACGAACAGCACTTGCCCCAAAAGTCTGTTCAGGCTATGTGGGTGATCTTTGTATTGTTTTGGGTGTGTAAACATCGGCGCATAAGACAAAGGTGGCCGGGCGTGGTGCTGGTCACAACACCTTCTGATACGGATGCTCATTGTTGTTGCATGTGTGTGCATTCACATCATCATGTGAGTGCATGCGTCTAGTAATGTATGTGTCTGCTTGTATTCATTGATGAGTTGTGGGCCTCCCTGAGGTCGACTCAAGTGAGTATCTGGTTTGATGTATAAACATCGCGACTGGAGAGACGGAGGCAGCCGCGCATGATGCTGGCCACCCCACCCCCTCTGTGCCGTGCCAGCCTTCATTGTTACTTGGGGGGGCCGGTTTTTCTTTCTGTGTGCGTGTGTGTGCATTCATACATGTCCTTGTTTTGTGTGCGCGTACGCGTGCCACAGCGCTGCCTCCGCCCGTGCCGCCCCCTCTGTGCCCCATGTTTGAGGGGCTGCTGAGACTCCTGCACTGCGACACGTTCGTTTGCATGCTGGCGTGCGTGCTGCACTGGGCTGCCAAGCCCTCCGGACAGCCGTGCTCCGAGGCTGCCCTGCAGCGGGTACGCACGCACGCACCACTTGCTCTCCTTCTAAGCGCTGCGCTTGTGTCGGCCAGGTGGCTCGCTGGTGAGAGCATCAATCTGGTGCACCGACACAATCACCGATGTATTGTGAACACATGGCGTGACGTGCCGTGCGGGGCCGTGTGTGCGCTTGTGTGTGGTGGGGAGCGGTGGTGGAACGGTTAACACGCTGCACTACGAATCCGGCGACCCGAGTTCGATTCCTGCTCACGGCCAATACCAGTGACAATTATCTGAACCGGTCCTGGGCCTCCCCTAGGTCGACTCATCCTCAATTGAGTACCTGGTGCGGTGTCTAAACATCGGCACTCGGGAGACAAAGGCGGTCAGGCGTGGTGCTGGCCACCCACCCCCTCGTGTGCCGTGCCGGCCTTCATAGGTGGTGGTCGCTAACAAAACACTTGCCCCAACAGTCTCTTAAGGCTTTACGAGGGGGAGGGGTCTCTGTCTTTCTTTTTTGTTTGTGCTTTTGCGTAGGCGCTGCACCTGATGGGGCTGGCGCTAATGGAGGAGCAGAAGCAGCTGCAGCAAGCGGGCGAGGGGCACGAGGCTGACGTCTCCTTCTGCTTCCTGCACAAGGCAACGCGTACGTGTGCCGCCTCCTCCTCCTTACGGCCACCGTCAGAGCCTGGCCTGGGTATCTCCTAGGTTGACTTGGCCCGATAACGAGCGCCGGGTAGCGGCGACGACTTGGCTAAAAATGCCAGCGCTGGAGCGACAAAAGGCAGCTGTGTGTGGCAGCGTGGCACCCGAGCCACGCCACATCACGCAGTCGAAGCGCCACCTCTGACAGGTCAGCAGTTGTCCCATGGGATGAACTGGAGGGATGTGAAATGGTTACAAGAAGATGAGCACTGCTGCACGCTTCTTTGATCAGGAAAGTTTTAATTCTGATTATGCCGACCCTGGCAGTTTATTATTATCATCATCGTTATCATCGTTATCAGCCTTGGTCAGTTCAGTGCTGCGATGAGCAACGAACCAGAGCACCTGCACATGAGCTTATTTAATCGCTCCATCTCAACTGCGGGACATCCTCTCGGATGCGTTCCGGCATCCCTGGAACACCATGTAACACATCTCAGCGTGCCTTCTGTACCGTCAGGTACCGTCTGCGCGTGTGTTTGTGCACGTTGAGCCACATATCAAAGTGTTTGTGGCGCCACGGTGGCAAGATGTTAAATTCCTCGCCTGGTATGCAGGAGGTTTTGGGTTCGATCCCAACCTTGACGCCTGTATATTTGGAGTTTGCGTGTCTCTCTCCCCGTGGTCGTGTAGATTTTTCTCCGGGTCCTCTGGTTTTCCCCTCCACATTTATAAACATGCATATAGACTATTTGGCCACTATAAATTTTCACATGATGAGCCACTTCTTTGAGCTATCATTTGTGATAGCCAGGTAACTTCTGAAAAAGAACTATATAGCAGCTCAGTAGGCCTTATCTGGTAAAATAAAAAAATAGTTCATTAGTTTAGGATTGACACTAGGGATGTGGTTTAACACGTAGGCTTTTGCGACCAATATCCATAATATAGTTAAACCTTTGATTTAAAGCTTTCGTGACTGCAGTAATTCATATTCTTAGCTCTTTCGGTAAAGTCACGTTGAACGTGACTTTACCGAAGGACTTGACCGAAAGAGCTAAGAATATGAATATAGTTAAACCTGCCACCACCCGACAGCCAATTAGTAAGGTTTGTCACGTCAACAGAACATGCAAATTCGTTACTAGTACAGCACACCGGTGTGTTGAAGAGCAAATCCACAACATTTGCAATCTGAGTACGACATTTTTCCAGTAGTTACAACGAGCATCTTCAGGCGGACAGCCAGATTTGTAACCACAAATCTGGCTACGGAGGCCGGCACGGCACACGAGCGGGTGGGTGGCCAGCACCACGTCCGGCCGCCTTTTTCTCCCAAGTGGCGGTGTTTACACACCACACCAAGTACTCATTTGAGGCTGAGTCTACCTAGGGGAGGCCCAGGACCGGTTCAATTAATCGTCACTGATGTTGACCGTGAGCGGGAATCTAACTACACTGCCGTTCCCCACACACACGTACGTACGTTCCGCGTCGTGCGAGCAGGCTCCGGGAGCCCTCCTGACAGCGCGCACTCCCTCCTTGCCCAGCTGCAGGCCCTCCAGGCCGCCTCTCACCTGGAGAATGAGAAGGACATGATCGCATGGACGTTGAAGGTGACTTTAAATAGCTTTTCTTGGCGAGCCGATGGGATAGTTATTTTTCCCTTCCTCTAATGTTTGTGTCCGTCCAACAGCGGTGGAAATTCCACGTTCTTGTGAAGGGGGCTGGTCACTCCGTGGTATTGTCATTGTTGCCATTTTGCACAAAATGCTTCTCATTTTATTCATCCCAATGTTGCATTTTGGGATCAGTCGATCGCTGACCACGAGTTGAACTCACGAGCTTCCTCTTGTCAGTTAAGAGCTCTTGTCTGAATACAGCCAGCTGGCTGGATAACCCCAAAACTTATAATTACTTTTAAAATTTTGGGCTAGGGACAAGGTTAGTGCTAAAATCAGGATGAGTGTTAGAATTAGCATTATTACTATGGTTAAGATAAGTGTTTGTGCTATGCTTAGAGTTAATGCTATAGATAAAGTTAGTTCCAGGGTTAGAATTAGTTATGTGTTAATGCTATTATTAGAATTAGTGCTAGTGTTGGGGTTAGTGCTTTTGTTGTGGTTAGAGTTAAGGTTGGTGCCAGTATTATGGTTTGTGATACGGTCATAGTTACTGCTATGGGTATGATTAATTGCTTTTGTCTTGGTTCATGCTTTGCTTGTGGCTAGCTTTAGAGCTAAGGAATAGGGGTTGGTGCGAGCGTTGGTTCCGTGTGTTCAGTTCAACGTGTGCCGTGTTCACTTGCAGCTCTTCGCGACCGTGCGGATGCTTCGGGAGAGAACTTCCCAGACCCCCGGCTCCTCCATGGATGAACAAACGCAAAAAGATGTGAGAAGGGTAATTATTTGTCTCTGGGCTGACCTGGTGATCAGCTTGCTGTGTCAGGTGGTGGCAGGTTTAACAATACATTTATATTCACACGATCTAACCCAAAATCCTCTATTATGGAGAAGTGGCTTAGCACGTGCACATTTATAGGAGCCAAATAATCGAAATAAAATCTTGATTTAAAGCTTCCGTGACTGCAGGAATTCATACTCTTGGGTCTTTTGGTCAAGTCACGTAAATAAAAAATAACAGATCACGACGTTTCGATCGCAACACAAGCAATTGTCTTCAGGTGAGAGAGAGAGAAAGCTGCTGAGACAAGGTCTTATATAAGCCTGAGATGGGTGCATCAAGGTAGGTGGGTGGAGCTAGAGATGGTCCAACCACAGAGGCTGGGGCAGTGGACACCCAGCCTTTCAATACAAAGACATCCAACCTAGTAATGAAACTCAGAGAGTCAGTTAACATAGGTAGAAAGGATGGAAACGTCATAGCAAGTTAAGACTTTACCTGGTTAATCACGTCCTAATGATTGCTCAATTTTTACCCATATTCTTAGTTGAAGTTGTCTGTTTTTTATATCTGGATGGCTTCATGAACAATCTTTGATGATGGCGAGTGGGTTTGCAGAGTACCTTCATCTTGGAAAAATCAATATCGTGTGAGCCCACAGCGTTAAAACAATGATCAGCCACGGCAGAGGTATTGGTCCTGCCGTGTTTCAGATCCGCCTTGTGTTCACGAACACGTTCCGAGACATGTCGTTTAGTTTCCCCAATGTAACTGCTGCCACAGACACAGCTTAGTTTGTAGACACAGGGGTATTGCATGTCAGGGAATACATCCTTCACAGATGGGATCAGATCACGAATTTTATGTACTGTGTTAAATCGGACCTGGATCTTGTGTTTGTTCATGATTTTGGAAATATTTTTGGTGACCCCTGCTATGTATGGCAAGGTGATGGTTTTGATTCGGTCCTCAGATGTTTTTTTCCCCACGGTTGGGGTGACAGCTTTGCGGATTGTACAGTCCGAATATCCATTCATCTTGAGGGCTTGGTGTACGTGCTCCAGTTCACTGGCTAGGTGGTGCTGGTCGGAGATGCAACGGGCCCTATAGTGTAGGGTTTTGATGTGGGAATTCTTCTGGGCTGGATGGTGGTGGTTGTCAGGTTTTAGATAGGCATCTGTGTGGGTGGCTTTCCAGTAGACAATGTCCCAATGAGCCATCTGGTCTCTTTTCGATTAAAACATCCAAGAATGGTAACTTGCCATCCTTTTCCACTTCCATGGGGAATTTGATGGCTGGGTGTATGTAATTTTTGTGGTTTAAGAATTGGTTCAGTGCTAGCGGACAATGTGGCCAGATGACGAACGTGTCATCTACGTATCTTTTCCACAAGGAAGGACGTAGGGTGAATGCCTGGATGGCATCTGTCTCAAATTTTTCCATGAAAACATTGGCTACCACTGGCGATAAGAGAGAACCCATTGGGGTACCTTCATCTTGTTTGTAGAATGTACCATTCCAGGTGAAGTAGGTGTTGGTAAGACAGTGTCTCACCAGGGTTGGTACATCAGCATTCAGTCTTCAATGATTGCAATGGTGTCAGGCACAGGAACTTTGGTGAAAAGAGAGACCACATCGAAACTAACAAGCAAATCACCTGGAGATAGTGAGCTGTCTTTAATTAGAGAAACCAAATGAGCTGAATTAAGTACAGCTGATGTGGTCTTGCCAGTGAATGGAAGCAAGGTCTCATAAATCGGGCCAGTTTGTAAGTGGGTGAGTCAATGGTGGAGACGATAGGATGGAGTGGTCTACCCACTTCATGGATTTTTGGTAAGCCATAAAATCTGGGTGGTCTAGCAGCAGAGAGTTTTAGAGAGAGCTGTTTGTTTGGTTCGATTAAAGATGTCGAACCAGTGATGATATTGTTGGTTTATATAATCGAAATAAAAGTTTTTTTAACTGAAAGCAAGCGACGGTGGCCTGGTGATGAACCTCGGTGGGGTGGGGGGGGTGGTGGGTGTAGACGAAGCCGGTGGCACGTGCAGGCGGCACCGCCCTTCGCGCGCCGTGCCGCCCTGGGTGATCGCGCGCACTCTACACGCGGAGACGGCAGTGTTGTCGTTGCGTGTGTCGGGCAGGACTCGGGCGAGCGCGACAAGCAGGAGCGTAAGCGCAAGGCGGAGGCCGCGCGCAAGCGGCGCGAGAAGATCATGGCGCAGATGTCGGCGATGCAGCGCAGCTTCATGGAGGAGAACCGCGCGCTCTTCGAGCAGGCTGGGGGGGCGGCCGCGGCGCAGGGGTCGACGGAAACCGACGGCAGGTGGGTAGTGCACTACCTTGTGTGACGGCTCTTCATCACGAATGGGCCATCATAGACGGGCCCTTGTCTGAAACATCACACGGTATATACTTTGTTCTCTCTAGGGCGATGTTATTGTACGCATGTATATTGAACTTCTTTCGCATTGTACTAATCGGAGGTACGGTGGAAGAACAAACTAAACACAAAAAGCAGTTTTAAAGAAATGTGTTTTCAATTTAGACGATTTAAAAGTGCGTGGCTCCAATGGCTTCGTAAGGGAGAGCATTCAAGATTGCCGCAGAAGCACACATGAAAGCGGGCGATGCGGTGACCGTCTTTGTTCGATGGCCAGTCAAAAGCCGCTGCGAGGATGACCGGAGTTCGCATGATGGTTTATGCTCCTTGACGAGATCAGGCAGTCTATGAGGCTAATATGACCCAGAGCCTGTTGAGTTTTTGTTGTGGCACTTCTGTGACCGCTGGCAACGTTGGGATCACCGGGTGCCTTGCGACGGTGCGGCGATGAACACCCAGGGCTCGTACGGTGTTTTCGTACGCGGTGGTCAAGTGTCTTCCTCTTCATGGTGTTGTTTGGCGAGACTTGGCTGGCAATATCTCGGTCACCAGCAATGGGGTAAATCGACAAAGCGACGATGCATTTTATGGCTGTTTCAGTAAGATTTTAATGTAGCCCCAAAGTGACACGCAAAGGACAAATGGGGTAAGTTTAATAACGAGAGGTGGTGCTCGGAGTTAGGATCTGGTTTACCAGGTTGGTCTGGAGATTTAATGAGGGTAAAATCCATTTGGATAGTGTGGTAGTGGTTATGAGTAGGGCTAGGTTTCTGTTTGGCCATTGTTAAGGGAAATGGGTAAGAGTTGGTGTCTGGTCAGCTCGTTTGTTTAAGGGCTCGGGCTACGGCTGGGGTTTGGTTAAACTGATTGGCTTTTTTTGTTGGGTCCGGTTGTGATTGCTAGAGTGGTGAAGGCACATTATTTGGGTCTTTCGGTAAAGTCACGTGGTTAGGTTGAAAGGAAATAACAAAAATCTACGACGTTTCGATCACAACAACAAGTGATCGTCACCAGGAGGAAAAACGAGGTGTGAAGGCAGTCTTCTGGACATCTGTCAAAAAGAGCTTTTGAGCTTATCGGATTCCTTCAGTATCAATAAAGATTCTGAGTTGCGTACCTCCCGTCAGTGCATGCCCTCAAGCTGCTGTGTGCGTGTATTGCTGCGTGCGTATTTGTGTGGAGAGCGGTAGTGTAGCAGTTAGCGCTACACTGCGCTGTGAACCTGGCGACCCGGGTTCGATTCCCGCTCACGGCCAACACCAGTGACGATTATCTGAACCGGTCCTGGGCCTCCCCTAGGTCGACTCAGCCTCAAATGAGTACCTGGTGCGGTGGATGAAAACATTGCCACTGGGGAGACTAAGGCGGTCGGGCGTGGTGCTGGCCACCCACCCCATCGTGTACCGTTCCGGCCTTCATAGGTGCTCGCTGACAGCACTTGCCCCTACAGTCTGTTAAGGCTATACGGGGGATCTTTGATCTTTGTATTTGTGTGCGTGCCGCATCTCGCACCGGCGTGCGTGGGCCCTCGTCACGCCCTCCCCTCCCTTGCCGGCCTCACTCGCAGCTCGGAGTTCGGCGGCGGAAGCAGCGGCTGTGATGGCGCCACCGCGGAGCCCGGCGGCGTGTGCGTGGGGCCACGCCGGGCCAGCCGCCCCGCTGAGCGCCGCGTCCTCAGCTGCATCCTGTGCCAAGAGGAGCAGGAGGTGCGTGCCGACGGCGCCGCCATGGTGCTCGCCGCGCTGGTGCAGCACTCCACCGTGCTGGCTCGCCCGCATGCCACAAGTGACCCGGCCGCCCCGCCGTTAACCGCGGCAGCGGCAGATGCAGAACCCGGTGAGGCTCAACTCTCTGGGGCGATCGTGAGCTCGTCGGCGTTTTGAGTGCGCCGCAGTGTTGAGATGTTAACACTGGTATACAGGAGGTCATGGGTTCAATGCTGACCCTGACGCCTGTATATTTGGAGTTTGCTTGTTCTCTCTCCGTGTGGTTGCATGGATTTTTCTTCGCCTCTGGTTCTTCCCTCCACATCTAGAATCAACTTGCATTTAGAGTATTTGGCTGCTATAAAGTTCCACGTGATAAGCCACTTCGTTGAGCTATAATTTGTGATAGCTACAGTGGGCCTTACCTGGTAAACTCAAAATAGTAGTCGTCTAGTATAGAGTGGCTACCGTGGTTCCTGAGGTTATAGTGGATGCATCGAATCGCACATACAAGAATGACTGTGTCTTTTTAGTCTTATGTGTTGTATGTAATCCAGAGATGCTACCATGCACTTGAATGTAAACAAAAACATCTGTTCTTGAATCGAATGGCGACCTTTAATTGCGATAATCGAATCGCCACGGGCCGAGGGTCAGGGGGCTAGATTGTTCCAATTACAGTACAAAGACAAAGTTCCCTGTATAGTCTGAACAGACTGTTGAGGCAAGTGCTGTTAGTGAGCACCTATGAAGGCCAGCAGGGCACATGAGGGGGGATTTGTGGTCAGCACCACGCCCGGCCGCCTTTGTCTCCCTAGTGGCGATGTTTACACCCTGCACCAGGTACTCATTTGAGGCTGAGTCGACCTACGGGAGGCCCAAGACCGGTTCAGATATATTGTCACTGGCGTTGGCTGTGAGTGGGAATATCGAACCCGGGTCGCGACAAATGTACACACGTGAACATACACGCACAAAGGTCCCCTTGTTTAGCCCTCGAGAATATTGGGGCAAGTGCTGTCAGTGTCATCAAGTCAGGTATGGCACTCGAGTTGGTGGGACCGAGTGCCACACGCGCCGGCTGCTCCTGATGCGTACACGCTGCACCACGCACTCAGTCGCGTAAGTGCATTCATTGTGTTTCTCTGTGCAACCCTACTCTTTGCCATCCACAGACAAGTTTGACCCCCTGTTGGTGACTGCCGGCCTTCCTGTGGGCGTCCACAGTGGCAGCTGTGGCCATGTCATGCACGCGCACTGCTGGCAGAGGTACGTAACGTCACCCTTCAATCACCGGTCATCATCATCATTGGGAATGATCAATCCACTGCTGAAAGCAGACCTCCCCGAGTCGCCGCTATCCTTCACGCTGCCACGATGCAACATTCCAGCCGGCAGGAGAGAATCTCATCACTCCATCTCCACTGCCACTGCGTTGTAATTCTTGCCGACCGGCCGTCATCCCTTCCACTTGTTAACGCTTACAATTGTGATTTAAAGCTTTCGTGACTGCAGCGATTCATATTCTTGGTTCTTTCGGTAAAGTCACGTAGAAGGGAAACAATAAAATAATAAAAATATAAAACAATAAAATTCTCACGACGTTTCGACTGCAACACAAGCAATCATCATCAGGTGTGAAAACCACAGCAAGAAAATTTGAAAAAATGGCGTTTTTTTACGTTTGCACCACGGAGAGCGATTTGGCAGTTATTCAGATGGACGAGTCCATCTATGTTCGGAAAAGAGGAGGGGGGAGACGAAAATAATGGATGCGGTCTGAAAGCCACCGTAAGTGTGAACAATCAATTAAGACCCGAAATGGTTTATCAAATCCTTCCAATGATTGGTAAGCCAGAATCCATCTTCTCGGTTGAAATTGTCTCCGTGTTTGTATATGTAGATAGATTCGTTCATGAGGCTATCCACATATACAAACACAGAGACAATTTCAACAGAGAAGATGGATTCTGGCTTAGCAATCATTGGAAGGATTTGATAAGCCATTTCGGGTCTTAATTGTTTGTTTACGCTTGCGGTGGCTTTCAGACCACATCCATTATTTTCGTCTCCCCCCTCCTCTTTTCCGAACATAGATGGACTCGTCCATCTGAACAAACTGTCAAATCGCTCTCCGTGGTGCTAACGTTAAAAAAACCGCCACTTTTTTCAAATTTTCTTGCTGTGGTTTTCACACCTGATGATTGCTTGTGTTGCAGTCAACGTCGTGATAATTTTATTGTTTTATATTTTTATTATTTTATTGTTTCCCTTCTACGTGACTTTACCGAAAGAACCAAGAATATGCATTTCTTGTTGTTATAACAGCTCGCGAAAGGAGAGGGGAGGGAATCCTAAAATCGAGCAGATGTATAAAATGAATACATGACAGATAATTTTCTGTAGGCAACTGCTGCTCTCTAATGAGGGGTGGGGGGGAAAGGAAAATAAGAAAAAGAGTAATCCGTTATAAAAGCTCGGCATTCCGTGTTTTCGCTTTTGTCCGTCTACTCAATTATAAGAGCCTTTCAGAAGGCCTGAATCAAATCATCAGTGTCATTGTCTGCGCGTGCGCACGCGTGTCTTGACAGGTACTACGAGCCGACGCAGGTGCGCGAGCGGCGCCAGTTCCGTCAGCGCATGCCCATGGACACGGAGACGGGCGAGTTCCTGTGTCCGCTCTGCGAGGGCATCAGCAACGCCGTGGTGCCGGTGCTGCCCGCGCCGTGCAGCTCCCAGCAGCTGGCACACTCTGGGTGCGTGCGACGATGGGGGGTGGCACGACTGGCGCTGTGTGTAGTGAGGCCACAGAGAGGGTGGGGGTGGCCCCCTATGGGTGGGGGGGGGGGGTCCCCTACCGATGGGGGCTCTGTGCCCCGGGCCTACGATCCCAAGAGGCCTCAGCAGTAGAGCCTCGTCTGGTCGCTAAGGTAACTTGGCCTAGGCCTCCAAAAGCCTTTTGTCAGCTCTGCGCTGCAGTGACAGAAACATTTTTCTGAAAATTAAAGCGAGAGCACTAGTTCTGTGCCTTCTCCTTGAACCATTCTTTGTTCGTGCAACGCCCACTGTGAGATTTGAAAATGAATTGCATCTCTCATGGCGTGATGTCGATTGCAGGTTTGGAATTCAATTGCGGGACAAATTAAACTGGGCAGTGCTGTGTGTGTGCGTGTGTGTGTGAGCAGGGAGGAGGTGGAGGCTTTGGTTGAGCAGCTAAAGCTGTCACGCTGGCTGGAGGTGGTGTGCCTGCGCATCGCTGGGCTGCGACAGCTGCTGAACAGAAAACCAGGCAAATTATCCACAACAAGCTACACAGACACGCACTGGCCTTAAAGCCCGAACGCCGTAGCCTTATAGACCAGGGGTGGCTTGAGAGCATGTGGCTCTAAAGCAGTTCAATTGCTGCTCCGTAGAGACTCGTCTCGGCTGATTTGTAACTTTTCAATCTTAACTTGATGTGAAAAAGGAAAAAAAATAATCTGTGGAAGCCGTCGAGGCTCGGGGCACTCGCCCTTGCCTGCGGAGCCAGACCCAGGTACTCATAGGGCGCTCCCACAGATTTCTAAATTCTCCACAGCCAACCAGCGCGAGCGAACCGGCGGTCACTGTGTGTGCGTCTTGTGACTCTCGGCCGTGTGAAGATTCGGCTATGAGGCTTGTAGGGTCAGGACAAGTTGCCACCCCTTGTTATAGACAATGCGGCTAAGCGATGAGGCGACGTCCGCTAGGCCTTTGAAGGTCCACACGTTGCATCTCATTGCGGCCTACGAACGCGTGCCCGGTGCGTTATTATTGCACGTTAATCACGCCTGAGAACGGACGCGCGGTGCAAGTGGGTCGCGCGATCCGTCGCACGCGGCATGATCCTTGCGTGTCCTCCGTTGTTATTTCAGACAATCTGGAGGACAAAGGAGACGTCCAAGCTCCGCAGCCCCCCGCGAGTCTCCCAGAAGGGTTCCGCTCCATCCTCAACTACGGGGTCCGGCCCATGTATGGCTCGCACAGAACTGATTTTTGCACGCACCCAGTGAATGTGTTCGCTGGGATTGAATTCTGATTGTGAGACGCAGCCACCTGGCTTACCGGCCACATTACTTAAAGGATATTTTAGTCTATTAGCCCATTAGCTTTGCAGACCAATATTATCGAGCCACATTTATTTAAGCATGCAACACTGAATTTCGAACCAGGGTCTCATCAGCAGAGACTGGTTCCATTATGCGAACCGATCTTAATAGATCAATTGTTCACTAATTGCTTAGCAGCGGTATTTGTGATTATTCAAGCAACTGATTACTCTCCGATTATTTGTGCGATTACACAGCTAAACAGATTGCACGAGCAAAGTTTGGATGGGAGGTCATGAGCAGGGTTTTGTGACATCATCAGCCACACGTCGCACTGGGTGTGGCTTGGAGGGGGTTTCCCGCTTTCGGCGGAGGAAGGAAGTCGGGGCACCCACCATTTTTAAAGAAGCCCGAGTAATCGAGCACAGAAGCTAGATCTAATTTATTTTTCCAATTGATCGACTCGAATGACGAACCGTCGCCGCCCCGTTGTTATTGCCTGTGCCGTGTGCGCAGGCCCCAGTACTCGGAGAGCCTGTGCGGGATGGTGCAGACCTTCTCCATGGCGCTGTACCGCGCCTCCGTGTCGGCACACCCCAACGACCAGGACCCGCGCGTGCCAACGCTCGCCTGGCACACGTGCGCCTTCACCATCATGGCGCTGGGTGCGGTCACATCACCTGCATCTTCGCCACCGCCACCACCACCACCATCTCCTGCACTTGACCCAGCCCTAAGCAAAGACAAAGTTCCCCTGTGTAGCAAGTGCCATTAGCTGGCACTTTATACGAGCCAGCACAGCGCACAAGAGTGTGGTGTAGCCAGCACCATACCCGACCACCTTTGTCTACCCATTCCTGTCGTGTACCCGCTGCAGCAGGTTTCCATCTGTGGCCGAGTCGACCTACGTGAGGCACAAAACAGGTTCAGACACTGATGTTACCTGCAGACAGGAATCGCACTCGGGTAATCTAGTTTTGGCATTGTTTCTGCCCGACTGAGGTCCGAATAGCACGGTTGGGCTATGTTTGGTACGAAATAAGTTATACATACGAATGGGACTTTGAAATACCGTAGGCGGACAACACAGGAACGCACACGCAGATGTCGGTAAATGGTAGAGAGGGCCTTGAAGTGGCAGAAGTGACGACCGTGTTACAATTAGAAACACACGGTTGGCTGGTCAATTGTACTCTCCTTTAGTACCCGATTAGCGAGACTAAGGTGTTTACGGTCACGGATTAATATTGCTTGAGGGGCCGAATGGAAGTGGCAGGCCCGCAGGCTGCATGAAACGAAGTCGTGTGCCATATCCAGCCTGCCGGTCCATCGGTTCTCCGCCCCTGATTTAATCACCCTTGCAGCAACTCGATCTCACCACAAGCTGCCCTTAATTATGTTCCACAGAATCCAACTTGAGAGCGGACATGAAGCCTCTCTTCGGCTCCCTGCCCAGCCGCCAGGTACGTCCAGGTCCCCCTCCTTCCTACTCACCGCACAAAAAGAGGAAAGATATCCCCTGTAGTCTGCACAGACTGTTGGGGCAAGTGCTATTAGTGAGCAGCTATGAAGGCCAACACAGCACACGAGGGGGTGGGTGCCCAACACCACGCCCGGCTGCCTTTCGTCTCCTGAGTGGTGAAATTTACACACCATAGCACGTACTCATGTGAAGGCAGAGTCGACCTAGTGGGGTATAGAACTCAGATCGCAGAGTTCCTCGCGGAGTGAGCGTCCCACTGTGCCACCAGCTTCCCACAACGGACGTCCACGCATTCACACATGCACGCAGCACACTGACTCGGGGTGTGTGTGTCACGCGCTGTTCTGCGCAGGTGGAATGCCTGCGCTCGCTCGTGCGACTGGCCGAGGCGCAGTACAGCATGGTGTCGTCCGCGGAAGTGGTACAAGGGCACGTCCTGCGTCTCTTCAGTGGTGAGCACGCAAACGCTGCAAATATGAAGGTCCCCTTTGTAGCCTTAAGCAGACTTTTGGGGCGAGTTCTGTTCGCGAGTAGCACTCCTGAAGACCGGCATTGGCATACGGAGGGGTTGGTGTGGCCAACACCACCCCCGGCTGACTTTTGTCTCCCCGGTGGCAATGATTACACACCGCACCAGGTACTCACTCATTAAGGCTGAGTCAACTTAAGGAAGGCCCAGGACCGGTTCAGATATTTGACACTGGTGTTGGCCATGAGCAGGGAATGGAACTCAGGTCGCCGGGTTCGTAGCGCAGCTTTCCCCACACACATGTACACACATTCCAGTAACAACTACTACCACGCGTGATGACTTTGCCACCTTCTACAGCCGCAACTTGCCCACCATCTATTCACCCGTCACGTCTCTTCACAACCCCTCCACCCATGAATATAATTAAAACGTCTCAATTGTGATGTGTGTGTGTGTCACGTGCGACTCGTCAGTGACGATTCAATCATCTTTTGCGATTGTTTATCATCCCTGTAAGCCATACCATCCAAGCACTGTTGGCCTAGTCCACGTTTATTGCGGGTGTGAAATTATTCACCAGCCCTTCGATTTGATGAGTAATGTTTCGTAAATTTTACGTGATTTGTGCACACATGTACACGCCCGGCTCTTTTGTTAAGCCTCTACTGGATGAGGAGTATCCCACGCCGTACTAGTCGTGGGGGTTATTTGACCATACCTCACCACGGTGTTTAGTGCTGGTACGGCGAAGATGGGGAGCATAGACGTTGGAGCATCGCACAGTATAACAATGGTATACCCCGCTCAATACTCTAACAGTGCAGCCACGCAGCGGCCTATAGCAACCTGCTTCATGCACAAGCGGTCACCCATGCAAGCACTGTCCAGACTCAGCCGTGCATGGATGCCAAAGTCTGATGCGATCGGGACGTGTTCCCAGTCATTTGGTCACCGGCCGTTATTTTATAATTTACAGGAAATGCGCGTGTACAACGAAAAACAATCTATTAGTGCACTGGTGGCTCGCTGCGTGTACGGTCCGTTCTCCCGTAACGCCGCGTGTCGTTTTCATAACGCGCGTTGGATGTAATGCGATGAATGTATTAGGGAACACATTTTTTGTCACGCGGATGCGAATTGGATATAACGCGAGTAGGAATAAGCGGTTGCACGGCTGCTTCAGCGTAGCATCACACAAGGCGGGATGCTGCTGGATTCTTCGGGACGCTACACACGCGCCTCAGTCTTTGTTCGGCCTGTGTATGCATCCCACGCATTATCGCGGACTGTGCTTTACCCTTATATTATATTATCTATTTCACGCAATTTTTCCATAACGCAGTGTTCTTCAGGAATGCAACTGCCGCGTTATAGGAGAACACGGACTGTATTGCAAGCGTAAGAGTTGGTTTTCGTTATTCGGTGCTACACAGCTCTCTGGCGTAGAGACACCACCAATGCCTGAGTGCGGCGTGGGCAATTTCCAAGCGAGTTTCAATGTTCGTAGCTCAGCTTATTGGAGAGTATATTGAGTATATTGATTATATTGATGTAGTTTATATTTTAATTTTGTAGCTCAGCTTATTGGAGAGTATATTGAGTGTATTGATTATATTGATGTAGTTTATATTTTAATTTTGTATCAGTTCACTATATGGTAGTCATTACATAGTGTAGTGTATACCCAGTTACTTAATGTTAATAGGTCAACTTATTGGAGAATATATTGAGTACATTGATTATATTGATGTCAATTTTGATTCAAGGCTTTCGTGACTGCAGGGATTCATATTCTTGGCTCTTTCGGTAAAGTCACGTAGAAGGGAAGCAATAAAATAATAATAAAATTATAAAAAATAATTTTATTGTTTTATATTCTACATGACTTTACCGAAAGAACCAAGAATATATATTGATGTAGTTTATATTTAGTTATTTCACATCGGTTTATTGTATACTAAATGCCTCTGTTGATATGTAAACTCTGACTTTAACATAGCTACTTCCGTGACCAGTTACATGCTAATTCCTCACACTAACATCATGCTAATCTCCCAATTACATGCTAATTTCTGACTTTAACATCCTCCTAATCTCTCACATTAATATAGCTACATCAATGCTCAAGGCGCTCTGCTCCTCCCACCCAGCTTAAAATATGCTGCCAAGCTTAGCAGTGTTCATTGGAGCGCTGTCTTTCCGACAGTTCTGTTTCTTCACCTGAGGGCGGCTATTTGTGTTGTGGCCGAAACGTCGTGAGAATTTTATTTTATGTTTTATTTTTATTTTATTATTTCCCTTCTACGTGACTTTACCAAAAGTACCCAGAAGAGTTTCAATCAATACATTGTCGTGTGCCTCCATCCTCCCTCCCCACCTATGCCCTCCATCCCTGCCCTGCCACCAGTTCTCATCCCGGATCCGCAGGGGGAAGATTCCCCGTGTCTACTGGACGTCGATTTGACCCACCTGCTGGTGAGTGCACATGTCCTGCACGTGTGCGGATATGGATTTGGCGGCAATTATAAATGTATGCCTCGGTTGAAAATCCAGCTGCTTGGCTTCGGTGGACAACAAGGGAATACCATCTGTGCACTCGGAGATCGCTCGCAGTAGACAAGAGTTCACATAGAGACCCACAGACTTGCACGGAGATGCACAGACTCGCACGAAGACCCGGAGACTCACGATGTGTCCCACTGATTATTGCGCTGTGCCCTGGTTGCATGTTGTCGATGCTGTTATTTTTCCTTAGCTCTTTTCCGACACGCCGCACCACGCCACTACCGCCGCCCACTGCATCGTAATTTTTCTTCTTTCCCCTAGCGCGATGCCAACGGGTCGCCATTCCAATCCGGTTAGCACAAACACGCGAGCAACGTCCGAAGCGAGCGATAAATGCGAAATGAGCGCGCGTCCACTGTGCCGTGCGCGATGAGCAGCTGTGCGCCACGCTCGCCTTCCCGGCACTCTACCACGAAGAGGGCGCCCCCCTGCGCCCCTCCCCCGTCGCCGCCTCCGTTAACGAGCTCCACCTCGTCACGCTCGTCACCATGGCCCACGTGCTGCAGGTGCTGCTCACGGCCGCTACCGTCGCCCCGACGCCAACGACGGGTGAGTTCCCCGTCTCCGGCCGGGGACGACGGCAACGTGGCCGCCGCCGCAGCAGCTTCACCGCTGCCTACGCCTGCGGTCCAAAAGAAACTGAATTAGATATTTCGTGACATTATATTTTATTCTATTCTTGCGCGTATATGTTTGCACAGATGTTGAACTTCATTCGCACCGTACGTAGCCAACGGTGCTAATCGTAGGTGCGGTTAATGGCAGCAATGTTCAAGGAGCTCAATGCCAGTGTCGAGGGCTGCTGCTGGCCACGACGAGAGGGCTTCTGCAGAGTGTTGGTGTCGTGTTCCTGTTCTACCTCCATTAAAGCTCAGGCTACAGCGGGTTTACTGCGCGGTCCGTAGTACTTGTTACATACAGCGCAACTCATGCTGCCGTGCGCCGTTTGTTGCCGCCTGCTACCGCTGCAGAGGATGCGATGGAGGTGGACGAGGAGGTTGGCTACGGTGAGGAGGAGGTGCAGGCCGTGGAGGAGCTGTGCGTTCGGCTGCAGCAGCTCACGGCCGGGTGAGTCCCTCTCCTCTGCTGCTACGGCTGCCGTGGCGCAGGGCGGGGCTGCCCAGACGGCGGGCACCGACGATGACTCGCGCAATCCGGCCCCGCAGCGTCACTCACGCTGGCCATGGACAACCCGCCTGCGGGCAGGCGGGATTTGTAATTAATTATTTACAGGGTTACAATTGCCGTCATGAAATTGTTATTCATCAACTCGCACTGAACGGAGTGATGAGGTTTGGTCAAATCCAAAGCACGGTGGAGAGGCGTTAACTACCTCGCCTGGTATACAGGAGATCGTGGGTTCAATCCCAACCCTGACGCCTGCTGGAATATTTGGAGTTTTTATGTTCTCCCCGTGGCCGCGTGGATTTTTCTCCAGGTCCTCCGGTTTCCTCTCCACATTTAGAAACAACGTGCGTTTGGAGTATTTGGCTGCTATAAAGTTCCACATGATAAGACACTTGGTTGAGCTATCATTTGTGCAGGCCAGGTCGCTTCTGAAACAGAGCTATATAGCTTAGTGGGCCTTACCTGGTAAAATAAAAATAGAATTGTAATCGCCGCCATGACTTTGCGCGGCGTGAGGAGGCCCTCATCCAGCAGTGGACTAAAACTAAACTTTTTTTATTTTACCAGGTAAGGCCCACTGATTGAGAGAGCCGTTGTGCGTGCTGCGGTGTTTAGAATGGCTGACTCGCAATTGGAAGGTCACAAGCTCAAACCCCGGTTGGAAAGTCGGCTTCATCGATCTTCCCTCGGGGCAGGGGGGTGGGGGTTTAAAATGAGGACCTCTGAGGAAATTAAAGTGGTAGTCCTCTGCAATTACTTTTCGCCACCATAGGAATGTGGAATTTCCACCGGTGGCTCAGGACCATTGCTCGTTTGAGCTCGGAGACGCTGGCTTGTATGTGCTGTGTAAATGTGTGTGTACCGTGCGTTGCATGGAGATTGTTACACAGCGCAGCGTATTCCATCAGTATGCACCCACCTTTTTATTCACGTGATGTCCACCAATGTCAGTGCATTGGTTCATGCATCGGAAACTTTATTCGTACACTTTCAAAACCATCTTAATTACTTTTGTCTCCAGTGTGTTCTGTTCGTAAACAACACCACGGTCATAAACAACACCATCGTCTCTTTACCCAGGTTGCCATAACCTTGCGCAGTCAAAAGAAACATTCACTCTTAGCGATTACACCTGCAGTGTGGTGCTGCTTGTGACTGGCCGGTTGGCACTTTGGGCCTGTGCTCTCCAAAAAATGGTTAGGAATCAGTATCCGGACCTGGACTAGGTCGACTCGGCCTAAAAAAGTTTCGCGATGTTCTTCCGTCAGGGCGTACGCGTCGCGCGTGCCGGCCAGCCGGCTGGCCCGCTCTGTGCGGGCCGGCGTCGCGCCGTTCCTCCGCTGCGCCGCCACCTTCTTCTGCCTCCTGCACGACAGTCCACCGCCCCCGCAGCTGAGAGGTGCGACGTGCTCCCATCGCTGCGAGATCCGCCAAGGCCTTCGACCAAACTCTGTCGGGTTGTATACGTGCACCCTCCGCGGCTGGCTTAGACCGCTGTAGAAATGCGAGTGTTTTTGTTCCCGTGCGATCTCTTGGCTCGCAGAAGCCAGCGGGCTGGAGTTTGAGACCCTCTGCCGGTACCTGGCGCTTCCCACCAACCTGGCGTCGCTCTTCCAGATCCACGGCGCCTGCATCGATTCTCTCCTGCGCAGGTCCATTTTCTGTATGGAGTTTGTATGCTCTCTCCCCCACCCTGTTCTACATAGGTATCCTCATGGTGATCTGGTTTCCTCCCGTAGCTAAAAAAAAAAAGTTATGCAATGTAACTGGTATTGGCCAAAACATCCTAATGGTGCAAATTACTCCATTGGAATCACACACAGCACCGTCGACCCCTACTGCGACAATTAGGCACGACGTGCCGGAAAAAAAAACTATTGGTGCCTGGGAAAAAAACGTACGGTGCGCAACCTGAACCAACAACAATCGTCAAGATGAGCCCCGATCTGGGGATTTAAGCAACACCTGAGTGACGTGATTCCGTGGCTTGATCCGTCAGGGCCATTCGCGGACACTGCGTTACATTCTCCTCCTGAGTGCAAAGAGTTCCGTAGTGAACGTTTGCTTTTGTCTCTTGCTTCGACTCTACCCAATTACCCTAAACCCCGCTTCATCTCAGAACAAAATCAGGACTGGGCCTGTCCATGTCCAAATCCACCCAAAATGGCGACGGTAATAATAATACTCTAATTTTGTATAGCGTCATTAATGCCCAACAGCATCCCTCAATGCTAAACATTAATTATATACAGTGAGGGAAAAAAGTATTTGATCCCCTGCTGATTTTGTGCGTTTGCCCACTGACAAAGAAATTATCAGTCTATAATTTTAATGGTAGGTTTATTTGAACAGTGAGAGACAATAACAACAACAAAATCCAGAAAAACGCATGTCAAATGTTCTAAATTGATTTGCATTTTAATGAGGGAAATAAGTATTTGACCCCCTCTCAATCAGAAAGATTTCTGGCTCCCAGGTGTCTTTTATACAGGTAACGAGCTGAAATTAGGAGCACACTCTTAAAGGGAGTGCTCCTAATCTCAGCTTGTTACCTGTATAAAAGACACCTGTCCACAGAAGCAATCAATCAATCAGATTCCAAACTCTCCACCATGGCCAAGACCAAAGAGCTCTCCAAGGATGTCAGGGACAAGATTGTAGACCTACACAAGGCTGGAATGGGCTACAAGACCAATGCCAAGCAGCTTGGTGAGAAGGTGACAACAGTTGGTGAAATTATTCACAAATGGAAGAAACACAAAAGAACTGTCAATCTCCCTCGGCCTGGGGCTCCATGCAAGATCTCACCTCGTGGAGTTGCAATGATCATGAGAACTGTGAGGAATCAGCCCAGAACTACACGGGAGGATCTTGTCAATGATCTCAAGGCAACTGGGACCATAGTCACCAAGAAAACAATTGGTAACACTACGCCGTGAAGGACTGAAATCCTGCAGCGCCCGTAAGGTCCCCTGCTCAAGAAAGCACATATACATGCCCGTCTGAAATTTGCCAATGAACATCTGAATGATTCAGAGGACAACTGGGTGAAAGTGTTGTGGTCAGATGAGACCAAAATTGAGCTCTTTGGCATCAACTCAACTCGCCGTGTTTGGAGGAGGAGGAATGCTGCCTATGACCCCAAGAACACCATCCCCACCGTCAAACATGGAGATGGAAACATTATGCTTTGGGGGTGTTTTTCTGCTAAGGGGACAGGACAACTTCACCGCATCAAAGGGACAATGGACGGGGCCATGTACCGTCAAATCTTGGGTGAGAACCTCCTTCCCTCAGCTAGGGCATTGAAAATGGGTCGTGGATGGGTATTCCAGCATGACAATGACCCAAAACACACGGCCAAGGCAACAAAGGAGTGGCTCAAGAAAAAGTACATTAAGGTCCTGGAGTGGCCTAGCCAGTCTCCAGACCTTAATCCCATAGAAAATCTGTGCAGGGAGCTGAAGGTTCGAGTTGCCAAACGTCAGCCTCGAAACCTTAATGACTTGGAGAAGATCTGCAAAGAGGAGTGGGACAAAATCTCTCCTGAGATGTGTGCAAACCTGGTGGCCATCTACAAGAAACGTCTGACCTCTGTGATTGCCAACAAGGGTTTTGCCACCAAGTACTAAGTCATGTTTTGCAGAGGGGTCAAATACTTATTTCCCTCATTAAAATGCAAATCAATTTATAACATTTTTGACATGCGTTTTTCTGGACTTTTTTTGTTATTCTGTCTCTCACTGTTCAAATAAACCTACCATTAAAATTATAGACTGATCATTTCTTTGTCAGTGGGCAAACGTACAAAATCAGCAGGGGATCAAATACTTGTTTCCCTCACTGTATATAAGGACGAAATCCCATATACGGGTTGGCTTTGTGCGGCGCGAAAGAAGCCCAACACACACACACACACGTACATACTAATCAACTGAAAACCACCCTGATTACCAAGAAAAATCAAAAATGAATGAACAAATCAAGAATGGCACCAAAACAAAAAAGCACAAACAACAACTAAAAGTTATCAAAACAAAGAGCGATGTGGTCAACATCAGCGCTGGATGCCCGAGGCGGGCGGGCGAGAGAGCGAGCGTACTCGGTGCTGGCCCTCGCATTTCCTGCGTCGCGAAGCCTTGCCGGTCTAAATAGGTGCTCGCAAACGGCGCTTGACGATATCAAGAGGCTGAACAAGGGTGCACGGTGAAAATATAAGAACAGGCTTAACCCTTCCTGGCAATAAAACAGGTGTTAAGATATCAGAGCATGTTTGTTTGCATGTTTTGCCACAAGTACGTGTGGTAAATGCAGACTTGGAGCCTTGCAATAGGTGTCTATTTGTTGTTTGAACATTTGAATACCTGTTTTATTGCCAGAAGGGTTAAAGCCTATTCTTATTTTTTATCATTTTGGTGGCGGCAAAAAGGTATCCTAGTAAGTATTGGTACCTGTGTCCACCTGTGTATATGTCTTTGTATGTTCTGTCATATATATGTGTGTGTGCGTGCGCATACGTGGCTGTATTATCACTTAACAGCACTTGCCATAACATTCTATGTAGGAAATACAGGGGGCCTTTGTCTTGTTGTGTGTGTGTCTCTATGTCTAGGTTTCTTTGTCGCTGCTTGTAAGGTGTGAGGTGATCGCTTACAGCACTTGCCCCAACACTCTGTGAAGGCGATACAAGGGATCTTTGTTTTTGTATATAGGGGAGTGGTCGTGCAGTGGTTAGTGCGCTGTGCTATGAACCAGGTGACCCGAGTTCAATTCCCACTCAGCCAAGACCAGTGATGATCATCTGAACCGGTCCTGGGTCTCCCCTCGGTCAACTCAGTCTTAAATGAGCTCCTGATGAGATGTGTAAACATCACCTCACGGGACACAAACGTGGCTGGGTGTGGCCTTGGCCACCGACCCTCTTGTGCTGTGCCGGCCTTCGTAGGTGTTACTCGCGAACAGCACTTGCCTCAAAAGTCTGTTAAGGCTATACAGGGGATCTTTATCATTATATATATGCGTGTGTGTGTGCTGTAGTTGGTGCTCGGCACCAGGGGTGACACGACTACTCAAAGGAGCAAGAAGCGCAGTCACGTGAGTCCTCCCCATCGCCTACACCCGTGGAGAGCGACATCCCATCCTGTGCTCATCATGACCATGACACTGGCATCGCCGCTGCCACCACCGCCATCACCGCCATCGTAACCCTCGCCACACTCATCACCGCCGTTGTCATCACCGTTGTCACGACGCCTAAAACGCTTTGAAGGCGGAGGGTTGGTGTATCACGTAGATGTGTCCAACCTCATTCGCGTAATCAACTTTAGTGTAACATTACATGTCATCCTATGATATACATTCTCCAGTGCAGCATTCACAATGGGTTGTTATAGGCTGTGGTGGCCATGTGGTGGGCGGCAGAGGGCAGAGTAGCATAATGCATCGTTGTACAGTATTCTATGCTCCCACATCTATGCTTCCCACTTTCACAAACCCGTACTGACCGGCGTGGTAAGCGTGGGGGAATCTTTGTCTCAGCAGGTTTCCACGCGAGGAGAACAGACTCGTGTCCCTGCCAGATGATTACAGCCAGCTCATCAACCGCGCCTCGCTCTACACGTGTGTGCCTCACGCCGTGCCACAATCCCCGCCGTGCCACATGCCAGTGCCCCAACACTCGCCCTGACCTGAATCACTAACCCTCGCCCTGGTCCCAATATTCATGTTAACCTTACACAATAACCTGAATATTCACACGACCTCTAGCCTAAGCACGAACTCTATCCATGATATTAAAATTAACTGTAAGTTTTGCTCCAACATCTACGACCATCACTCTGCCTCTAACTTCAATGCTGCCACTTATTACAGCATGGGCACCACCATTGCCACCTTGACCCTCACCATATGTTACACGATATTTCCAAAAACCACATCCTTAACCCCCTATGTTAACACTAATCTCAACATTAATACGAACCCTAACCATAACATTAACCCCTAAGACCAATACCACATCTACCTTTATCCTAACACTAACCCTAACTGAACCTTATCCAAACACTAACGGAACCCTATCCTAACACCAACCCTGACCCTAACATCAAGACCAGCCCGTGACCCAACCCTAATCCAAACACCACTTTTGCTTCTAACCTTACATCAAGCCAAGCGATGCCCAAACCATAACATCCTCATTACAAATCCCAAACACGAACCCAGACCCCGACCCGGACTCTAACCCTCCCCCCACCCCCGTGCCGCTGCAGCTGCCCGAACGGCGGCGCGGAGGGCGATGCGGCGCGCTCGATGGCGCTGTGCCTGCTGTGCGGCGCCAGCTTGTGCTCGCTCTCGCTGTGCTGCCAGACGACGCTGGGCTCGCGCACTGTCGGGGCGTGCACGCTGCACGCGCTGCGGTGCGGCGGCGGCGTCGGCATCTTCCTGCGGTGAGGAGGCGCGACTCGGCCTCGCACCGCACTACCGCCGCACCGACGGCAACAACACCACCCGCCACTTTACATCCGTCCCACGTCGCACCCTGCGCACCCATCGCACGTGTCATCTCACGTCCCGTATATCCATCCCACGTGTCCCTTGCGTCCTGGATAATATATACCCATCGCTGCCCGTGCATTCCGCGCAGGGTGCGCGAATGTCAGGTGCTGCTGCTGGCAAACCGGACGCGTGGCTGCTTCATGGAAGCGCCTTACCTGGACGACTACGGGGAGACCGACCAGGGCCTCCAGTGAGACTCCCCCACCCCCCAGGGGCAGCACTCACCCCACACACTAGGGCCATCCGTTATATCTGGGCCAACTGACCGCATCTCTGAGCATAAGCCCAGCATACTACACATGGGGAAACAACACACCCGTTTCTGTTCTTCCAAAACTCATTATGCAATCTTGTTGAGCACTGGGTAATTAATTAAATATACCTCTGGTCATCTCTTGACATAAAATTTTAAAAAATGTTGTAGTGCAATCAGCCTTATGGGCTCTTCCAGCCCAATATTATACGGTGACATTTATTTTAAAAATTCAAACCCTGGAACGCTTTTGAAGTTAGGGGTCTCATCGGCAGTCAGGCTTGTCAAACAAATGCTGCCAGCATGCCGGAAGATGTTGGTGAGACAGCTCTGGCCTACAAGGGTGGGGCCCTATTCAACACGAAAAATAATCGCGTGCAACCCCGTCGTGCGTCATCGTGGCTGTGGAGTGTTTTTACGTTGAACAAGGAAGGAGCCCGTACAATGAATATCTGCCAACCCGGCAAGCTTTCACTCAGCACGGCTGACGTTGCCTTTGTCTTTGCAGTCGCGGCAACCCGCTGCACCTGTGCCCGGAGCGTCTGGCCGGGCTGCAGCGCCTGTGGCTGGAACACGGCGTGCTGCACTCCATCGGCCACTCGCAGGAGAGCCAGCACCTCGCCTACTCCTGGGAGCTCTTCTAAGGGCCCGGCGGTCGTCCTGCTATAGCACCCACCTTCCCCCCCACCCACCCACCTACGCAGCCGGCCAGCTACTCGGGAAGGTTGGCCAGCTAGTGAGGCAACCGGGGCAGGCAGGCAGTCAGTCGTTTATACAGCCAAGCCAGCAAACCGGCCAGCATGCCAGTCAGCCACCCAGTCATCGATCGTCCTTTTTCCACTGCCACATCTGAGCCGAGCCAGCACGGGGCCCACGTTGTGGTTTGCCACCGGCCATTTGCCGTTCTGAGATGGAAGAAAACCGTAATAATAACGCTGGGCCTCCTACAACTTCTAAATCTACGTTGGGAGACAAGCAGGGCCAGGGAGGGGTTAACGACACGTTCATTGCGCATGTCGTCGGCAGCATGGCTCGGTTTACTGCAGTGGAAAAATGACCTGCACCTCCTGACTCGCAACGGCCTGGCTCGGCACGGCCCTTGGCGTCGCTCGGATGTGCCAGTGGCTAAGGGTCTATGAGGTCATCCGGTGAGACAGGTGGTTGGTGATTTAGCTGGGTAGTTGGTGAGCGAATTGGTCAGAAGGTTGGACCGTGGTGGACCGCAAGGTCTGGAGTGTGGGAAGTCTTGAGACAGTGTAGCCATTGCTTGTTTATGGTGGCTTGCCCTGATTTAACCATTTGTTTATAGCTGTCATTTATTAAACCAATTTAGTCATAAATTTGATTTCAAGCTTTCGTGACTGCAGGAATTACTCTTTGGTTCTTTCGGTAAAGTCACGTAGAAAGAAAATAATTAGTTTTCTCTCTCTCTCTCTGTGTGTCTCTGTGTTGTCTCTCTCTGCTTGTGTGTCTGTCTATGTGTCTTCGTGTCTGTGTTTTGTCTCTCTCTCTCTCTCTGTCACACTTAACTTCTAATTTAGCAATCTTTCGAAGAACGTAATCAACCAGGCTATGCTTTAACTGTGTATTAACCGACTCTCTGTGTTGCATTGGATTACATTTCCAAATTTTACTAAGTTTGTTTTCCCAAACTTCCTATTTATCTCTCTAAAATTTGCTCTTTCTCTCCCCCGGCCACTATGGGGTGAATTTCCACACAACTCTCATTGACATGCTAATTTCTCTTCCCCCCCCCCCCCTTTCTCTGCCCCCCCCCTCTCTATTTAAGGCCTCGACGCAGAGGCGTTGTTTCTCTGTGTGTCTATGTTGTGTGTCTCTCTCTGTGTCTCTGTGTTGTCTCTCTCCGCTTGTGTGTCTGTCTCCGTGTCTGTGTTTTGTCTCTGAAATTTGGCACGTAATCAACCAGGTAGGGTGTTGACTGTTGTGTTAGCCGACTGTCTGTGTTGTATTGCATTATATTTCTACGTTTACTATGTTTATTTTCTCATTCATTCTTACCTGATGACGGTTGCTTGTGTTGCAATCGAAACGTCGTATTCTATTATTTGATTTGATTTTCATTCTACGTTACTTTACCGAAAGAACCAAAGAGCAATTTAGTCATGTATTCATACCTCTGTACCCCATTTTTGTCGCAATGTGAACACCAAAATAGAAAAAAAGCAAGTGAAAATGGACCTTTCCCTCGTGCTGGATATAAAGTTTGGGGGTAGGGAGAGATTGAGTGGGAGGACTGATGCTCGTGGCAGATGGCCTCGTGAAGGAGGGGGGTGGGGCTACAGTGCTTTGCACCCACGAACTGGGCCGTTCATTTGGCCTTCACAGTTGTTTTCATCCCGTTTGATAGCTGGTATTTTACACAGCATGAGCACCGTTAAGCCACGGCCCACTGAGGTCACCCTCAAATATTACTCGGGTCTCACGAGACCAACAGCGGCTCAAGCGCAGCACTGGCGCGCAGTCGGTGTCGACTATCGATCACACTCTTTGCAATTGTGCAAATTCAACTTCCTTGATAATTCTACCTAAATTTTGAATCAGTCTTAAGTGGTATATACCAATGACTGGTTCGTTTGTTACCCCCAATGTCTGACGTAGGAGCGCTATTCACAGGTAAGCTCTTGAACAAAAGTCCCTCCCACTTCCCCCCACCGCATTTTCAATTTAGCGCCACATCGAAACGTTCCGTCTCTGTATACACGTCGGTAGGAATGGTCTTGTTTTGGCCTCCTGTTGATTTTGAAGCAGTGCCATTGGCAATAGCTTTGGCCAGTCGCACGCGTTACTGTCACGAGGGAAAAATAAATGGCCACTGTGTTTTTGTTCGACCGTAAAACGGTGGCCATCGAACACCGGCGACGTGAAACGCAGCAATCTTTGGATCAAAGCTCACACTTCAAAACCGCAGCCGAGCCAACCCCTTCTTGATTTTTCAGAATTCTAATATTTTATTGTTATGTTCTGCATCGCTCCGTATGTATGTGCGTGTGTATTCTAGATTTAAAGTTTTCGTGACTGCAAGGATCCACACTCTTTGGTTCTATTCGGTAAAGTCACGTAGGTAAAAAATAAAACAACAAAAATCACGACGTTTCGGCCACAACACTCCAGCGCTGTCCTCTTAGACAGTCTGGCCCCTTCACCTGATGAAGGCCACTTGTGTTGTGGCCGAAACGTGATTTTTGTTGTTTTATTTTTACCTACGTGACTTTACCGAATAGAACCAAAGAGTATGTGCGTGTGTATGTTGAACTTCTTTCGCACCGTACGTAGTCACCCTTGCTTCGTTACAAGCATTTGGAAGACGCGAAAACAAATCGCCCGCGTATCATCTTACACCGTCAAAGGTCGTAGTTTGAGGGATGGTTCTGCCGTGAAACATTTAAATCGGCTTTGATTACGGGTTCTTTATCATCGGTGTCTACTGGCCGATTATACTGCATGTTTTAAGATGGCATTTATTGGACTATGTTTCATTATGAGGCCTGAGGATCGTCAATGAACATTGTCATTGGTGTTCAACATTGGCTTGCCAGATTGTTGTGCTTTTCTTCTGTCCACGCCCGTGAGCTCCTTGACGTGTGAAGAGAGTTTATAGCGGGCGCGACAAACACGCGGTGTGGCTCGCGACAAACGGCAGGAGGGAGACGCGTGCTGACATTTTTACATCTCAATGATGCGATGCAGCTGTATGCAGGCAAACAGAAACACGTGTTGTTCTCCAGATAAACACGCGCGCGCACACACACACACATATACAAAACATACAGTCTATCTACATGGTCACACTACGTAAGCATTGTAATATTTGTTTGCGGCTTATATGGCAAGTATTGCCTTGTGACGGTGCGGCCCGGACAATGTCCTAGCAGCTCCGGCGATCGCTGGGATGGGGTGAATTTGGAAATACAGAATAGGTTGTTGCATAATGCCCCCCCGAGTAGTTCTGAAAACTAGCCAGGGTATAGGAACACAATGGCCAGCTTGCTTTTGCAAGTCATCTCGCCGTTTCCTCTGTGTGTGTGTGTGCGCGCATGCACGCACCATCAGAAGTTTCTTGACTGAGGGAAGGGGGCGAATATATATTTTGAAAGGTTATAGCCGGCCAATGGGACGTTGCTGTGGTGTCGTGGTTCGCGCACTGGACTTGCGTTGACCGAGGTCGCAGGGTCGATTCTATCTCCCGGGGTGGCGGTCGACACAGCCGTGCAAAGTTTCTTAATTCGCTCGCCGCCTCCATTCACCCGAGCAGTATAAAACAAAAATAGTTACGTCACAGTTGGTAGGTCACGTGTGGTGGGGTGGGGTAACGTATGGGTACGCCCACGTTTACACAAGACGTCTGACCAGTGCGGAAGAGTAAGACCGAGCTCCCTCCAGTGGAGGCCTTTCCGCCAGCAGTGACGTGAGCCGGCAGTTGCAGGGCTGCTCCCTCCATCCTTCAGGTTTTTTGTTTTCACCCTTAGCCATGCGACAACTGTTTTCAATATTGACCTATTTGGTGAAAAATACATTTGAATGGGGGTATCCCCTTCTTTTGTGTGGGGTTTTCTCCAAGCACTCCGATTTCTGCCCACACACAACACGGGGATTCAGAAACACGAGGCTTTCTGAACGTCTCAACAAGGGTGCCACGGTGGCTAGGAGATGTTAACCACCTCGCCTGGTATACAGGAGGTCGTGGGTTCGATCGCGACCCGAACGCCTGCTGTATATTTGGAGTTTGCGTGTCTCTCTCCCCATGGTCACGTGGATTTTTCTCCGGGTCCTCCGGTTGTTCCCTCCACATTTAGAAACGTGCGCTTTTTAGGGTATTTGGCTGCTATATACATTTCCACACGATAAGCCACTTAGTTGCGCTATCATTTGTGGCCATGTCGTTTCTGAAAAAGAGCGTTATAGAACTCAGTTGTGGGCCTTACCTGATCAAATAAATAATTAATTTGCCGTATATATATTTTTTCTCTCATAGCAGGGCCCTCCCGAGGTCGGATTGTACGAAGCGATCCATTTGCAGACACCCTCACTCACTCATGACCCCTCGCATATACCGCACTGCGTGATCAATGGCCTTCGCTTGCTCATCATCATTGCAGCACGTAAGCAAATGGACCGGGCTGTGTTTGGATACAGTACGTCAGGACAGCGTCATGAGATGTCAAACAATGCGCATTAAGTCTGGTGGCAGACGTGTTGAGAGGCGTTTAGTTACAATGTTTTCTCTGCGATTTCTCCCTTGGTGTGGTGTCTATAAACAGCCGGTCACTTATAAACAACACGACTTGTTATCATAATCGTTGCACGGTCGTTATACACGGCTTGGAGCACCCGAACACACAATAGGAAGATCACAATTTCAAAATCACGGCGAGAGATCAAAGCCATCATCCTTACGGAGTTTATGAAACGAGTACTGTACCGTACCACATTTCAAAACGTCAAAATGGTTTTCGTCCTGTATACAAACTCGCCTGCCCTGGCAATGTCGAATGTGTACGTTGCATCGGGCAGCGCAGAAAAGAGTCATTGTTGTAACCGTGCTTCGACGCTCGTCGCCAACCCAACGTGGGAGAAGGAATGGTCAGTCAACCTCCACGACCCACACGGCGTGGGGAGGGCCCTCATCCAGCAGTGGATTGACAAGGGCGGCACGTGCACAAGAATTCACGTGGCACCCCCACCGCCAACTCCTCCCCAGTTGCTGTGCGCCTGCACGTGCTGGCTGTGGTGCAGTTGTAGCAAGCGGATGGATTTTGTTAGTGCTGTAGCCCAGTGTACAGAGCTGTATACTAGTACAGATTGTTTTGATTCAATAAATCTTTATGCATAAAATAGATTGGGCGTTTTGTCAATTCCCTTCTTCGTCTGTGTTTCGTGGGGAGCGGTCGTGTAGTGGTTAGCGCGCAGCGTTACGAACCCAGCAACCCGGGTTCGTTTCACGCTCACGGCTTAACACCAGTGACGAACATCTGAACCGGTCCTGGGCCTCTCCTAAGTCGACTCAGCCTCAAATTAGTACCTGGTGCCAGTGCCGGATTATCCTAGCAGCAAAAGTAGCTACATATGCTACTGTCCCCGCACTTTCAAGGGCCCCGCACTAAATGCTTTCAAGCTATCAATTCCGGTTCAGTGATTCTGCACTTGCTCTATTACTATAGTACTATACTGCCTTCAACTTTTAAGAACGACTGGGTGTTTAAGGTTAGCGATTTGTCGTATTATCTGGCTGCATAGTAAATGAAAAAAAATACTTTACTATGCAAGTAAAAAATTGCGTTTTAATATTTGTGTTTTTTTTTATTCAGGGCCCCTTTATAACAGATGCTACAGGCCCCGCAATAGCTTAATCCGGCACTGCCTGGTGCGGTGTGTGAACATCGCCACTGCGGCAACGAAGGCGGTCGGGCGTGGTGCTGACCACCCACCTCTGGTGTGTAACGTTCCA